TACGCGTTGATTGGCTGTTTTATTTTCCGAAACAGCCAATCAACGTTCACCAAAATGTGTAACGTCCCTGGGGACGTACAGGAAAATACTACCACGTGTCCTCCTTCCCATATGGGTAATAAAAGCCTTTCATTATGTACACGTGTGGTTGTTGTTTACAGCCGGTCTCAGCAATATTCCATCTATAAGCTTATCATACATTGTTGTACTTTGCAATATTACTTAACAAACTGTTCCCCTAATTTATAGAAAATACTTATCATAACTTTCGCTTGTCTGCCCATATTTTATCAATTGAATGTGGAAGATACAAAAATATAAATGTGAATAAAAGAAAGTGTATCAATTGTAATTTTGATATTGAGGACGAGTTTCACTTTGTGTTGATTTGACATATATATGTAAATGTCAGACTAAATTATATTAAGCCATATTACTGGAAATATCCATCTGTCTTTAAATTAATCCAGTTATTTGGTTTAAAGAACGTTAAACAGTTGTGTAATCTTGGTAAATATTTGTTTACTGCATGTAATATAAGAATTTTGTATCTAAAATAAATTATGCGCATTCTGCAAAATGTAGTACCCATTGTCAAACCCGTCCACCTGTATCCGCGATTTAATTTATGCCTTATGTAACCACCGATGATAAGTTGTAAAACTTAATGTTAATAAAGAATGGAAAATTGAATATGACGTTGGTTTGTAAATAGTCAGGTCAGGACCAGACAATCAGGTGACTGACACTGTGGACCACGCAGCATAACATCAACCAAGTCAGCGTTCCTGACCAACCGAAACCATTGGTCGCTGCTAACAAGCATGGGTTTGTGAAGACCAATTCTTAGGTATGGAATAATCCTGATTGAAACTTCCAGTGAAAGTAAAATAATTCTGATTTTGGTTTAGCCCGCTTTGAACAGTATGTCCGTATGTTGGGTACGATAGTGACGTGGTAGAAAAGCAAGAAATACAGCAGTGTTATTCATTTGTCACTTTGGTGAAATCCTAGAACACTGGAATGGCGCAGACAAACCATGGGTGGTAATGGGATTGGAACCAGCGAGGAAGTTGAAGAACCCGTGAAGATCCGGGTTAGAATTGATCTTCAGTAACCCATGCTTGTCGTAAGAGGCGACTAACGGGATCGTGTTGATGCATGCCATGGATACGCAGTGTCTGGACTCGATTAGTTACCGACCACTGTCGTACAGCTGGATTATTGCTGAGTGCGGCATGAACGAATAAACAAACAAACCAAACAAAACAAAGCTGTTTTTGTATCAATCGTACCATTGCCGACTGCATTATAATATCAACGTCTCATCTGTATAAAAAGGATTCTGGAAGGATTCTCATAAACGAGCGATCATAAGGATGCAGTGACAATGAATGTCCTTGATTATGATATAAACATCGAGGAATCGCATATGAACATCTAAGCGTCATACATATATAAAATTTTGAGTGAGTGAGTGAGTGAGTGAGTGCAGGTAGGTTTACATCGTTTCGGCAATAGTTTCAGCAATATCCCAAGAAAAGGGTTTCACACTTTGTACGCTTTATCTTTAATTTAACAATGCATTAGTGAGTGAGTGAATATAAAAGATTTTCCCCGCTTTTAGCGATTTTCCAACAATTGGGCAACCGGAAATCGGCTTCACACATCGTACCCATGTGGGGAATTGAACCCAAGACGCATTCATTCTACACCTACGTCACTGATAAAGAATCTATAAAGAATGCCGTAGTGAATGTACACCCCGTATCAGCCACCCTTGATATTACCTACATGTGATTCCTAACATATGTCAACATAACAGCGATACTCACTGTTAGCCTGATTGGTTTGGACTCCTCCGCCATCGTAACTTAGGTTGTAACACCCCAGTTCCAGCTTGTCAGTATCTATCTATTTGACCAAACTGACGCTAGTCCCCGTTGGCTTCACATGGGTGTGTCTAGGGTCCGTCAATCTGAAAAAAACGTTTCTCACAGTGAAAAGAATCCCTGGGGTGTGAACGAAAGCTGAGAAGGCTTGTAGTGTTGGGATTTGAGGGTAGATGCTAACCCAACTTTATGAAGTGGACAAGTCACAGAATCACCCCAGAAAAACGGATCTTTTCGTATACGGCTTTATACGGCTTATATATGACCGTGACCCTTTCGTTACGCCGTAACGATTTGCTTTAAAACGGTTTTCTTAATGTGAAGATATACGAAGAAATATGTCCAGAATCATTAGAAAGCTTTTTTAAAAGCAGGTCCATCGTACTATTGAAACTACATTTGTATTTCATTACTCAGTATCAGTACAGATAACAACAGGTGTTCGCTAAAATATAAGAATATCCTTCCACGCTCGTGGCACTGTCACCCCACACTTTGGTAACAGATACATTATACTTTCTTCACATTATTTTGGGAATAACGATCGAGCTAACACGAATGATCTGTCCCGGAGGATGGAGTGAGTGAGTGAATTTGGTTTTACCAATATTCCAGCACTATCACGGCGGGGGACATTATTTTGGGAATAACGATCGAGCTAACACGAATGATCTGTCCTGGAGGATGGAGTGAGTGGTTTCAGCACTATCACGGCGGGGACACCATGGGTGGGGATCGAACCGAACCCGGGTCTTCGGCGTGACGACCGAACGCTTTAACCACTAGGCTACCCCACCGCCCCGATACTTTGGGAATCATGGACTGTTGTTTCTGTCATTGTGACGTTTAACGGAAAGAAAACAAAACGTGACTGAATGAATATGGTTTAACTGGCCATATAAACTATAAACGTATGGAATCGTTATGACGAGGGAACATTTTTACCAGAGTCACTTCGACATATATCTGAAAGATGAAAGGTGGGGTAAGCTAGTGGTTAAAATGTTCGCTCATCACGCTGGACGCCCATGGATTATTGCTAAATTCGGCGTAAAACCCGACTCACTCACTCATTCAAAGTTACGAAGGTCGTAGACGGTTATCAGTGATGAAACATTTATGGCAATAACACTTCGACGGCATTAAGAGTTGTTCATGATATCACTCACTGATTATTCAGATCCAAACTTGATTGAACTTAAATATTGTATGACAACAAACGAATACAGGCTGGCGTCACATACAAAAGAAACACGAAACACTACAGGCTAACATTGTCATAAAGGAGAGTAGTGTAATTTCCATGTGGGCGACAGATGCCAAGATATGTTTTTGCTGTCCACCTTTCCGCTTTACCAGCCTTGTATAAATAGGTACTAGTATCTATGTCAAGGACTCATGCGACCAAGCACAGGGCCTGAAAATAAAGCAGAAAAAACATGTAAAGTAATACCTATCCTTCTTCTAACCCATGTATTTGTACAATGTTTGTGTCAAATCAATGTAGAGACCTGCTGTCTACACTTTACATATTTACCCAGGATGCATGAGTGCACTTTATGCCATGTATAGCAATTAACAATGAATTGCACGTACACCTTAGGATTTTAAACGTTATTTGTTTGCTATATAAGATTAGTTAATGCCGCCGGGTATATTATGATCTTTACTCTGAAAAGGATTGGCCCTTTGTGGGAATTGGCTTTAATGAAAACATTCTCGATGAGTAGGTGAGTGAATTAAGGTTTACGCCGCACTCAGCAATATTCTGGACAAGATAGAGATAGGGATTCTGATAGAGTGAATACAGTTTTAGGTCGCTTTTAGCTTTATTCACAAGAATCACCAAACATTTGAGCCTCGTTGGGTCAAACTTGTGGTACTTGGATGTTTTCCCGAACTCAACTTCAAGTTCCATCTATATTTCTCCTCACATATACTGGACTCTGTCGAATTGCAAGTAGTTTCTCTTCTTAGAACCCTTATAAGTGCCCAACATTTCTAATGTCCGCTCCTTTTACTCCAGCAAACGTGAATACAAGTTGCGATATAGAAAGTGGTCAAATATGATATATATGGGATAACACTTTCTGAAAAGTTATGCTACTCGTTACAAATGTATTTGACTGAACATCTTCAACTTCTTGTATACGTACACAGTACAATACCATTCAGTCATGGTAAGGCCATTGACTTTCTGCAACAATTTTGGGTTATAGATATTTTGAGATTTGTAAGGTTTTCTGTTCTTGAAATGTCTTTGTTCTTGATTGCGGATGGATGGGGTAGCCTAATGGTTAAAGCGTCCGCTCGTCTCACTGAAAACCCGGGTTCGATTCCCAACATGGGTACAATTTCTGAAGCCCATTTCTGGTGTCCCCTGTCCTGATATTGCTGGAATGTTGCTAAAATCGACGTAAAACCATACTCCCTCATTCACACACTTTCGTCAAGATGGAAATATTGGTAGTAGAAATACTGTCTGTGTGTTCGTACAATACTCTGTTACTTATCGACCATGTATTAGCTGTATGCAGCGTATTAGCTAACTGACATGTACAACCTGTATGGTAAAGTGCACTATTAAGGGTGGCTATCATTATTCATATATGCCCGTCAACCCTATTGCACTATTAAGGGTGGCTATCATTATTCATATATGCCAGTCAACCCTATTGCACGCGTTCCGTAGGCACATCTCACGACAGTCTTATCAGACCCTGGACTAGTTCATATCCGGTGTCAACATGGGCCCGCTTCATAACAATGCAAATAGGGGAGGTCTATGCACGGGATTTGTTAAGCTGGTGCACTTCAGACACGCACACATATTCCTCCAGCATACTAATCATGCACTACAAAGAACACAATGTACACCTAAAACATTGTGTGTCTTTTTGCATTTTTATACCTACCTTTACCTCTGTGTTTGTGTCTGTCAGTGTGGGTGTGCGCGTGTGTATGTGCGTGTGCGTGCATGAGTATGTTGTAACTTGAATTGCACTTACACATCTCAATGTTTAGACGTACATTTGTGAGTGTGTGAGTATGTTGTAAATTACACATCTAAACGTAAAGTTCATGCAGGACCGAGGCTGACCTACACACAGCCTTATAGGGAGGCGACGCTGGCGCTATGTAGAGGTACACAATCAGTCACGCAGTCATTGACACCAACCAGACATAACAGTGTTTATCAAGCACACAACAAGATGGACGGGAAACAAACAACGGGTGTATACACGGTAAGTTATGCAACATAACTTCATAACATAAACATCACAGAATGTCAAAATCATTAAAAGTGGTGACGAGGGAGCGGGTACACCCCTTGCAGCAGATGGCCTAATTCGGCCAAAGTGCTGGCTGTGTCATGGATCTCATGAAGTCATTTGCAGCGTTCCTTAGCAAAGGCATTCATTCATCACTGTGACTATACAGTCATGTACATGCATATTCTAATTAATAGGCATATACATTGCCCTCAATGCAATATTGCGATGAATGTATACTACAAACAAAGATTATGGGAACAACCTAAATTTTGAAAGTCATATATAAACCTAAACGTGGTGGGGTTATTTATACTCTAAGATAAATGCAATTGTGTGTGTGCTTAATGGGCACTATAAACGACATGTTGGAACATGCAGTGAAGCAACTGATTCAATATTCGTTGAGTTTGAGTGAAATGAAACATTGTCAAAAACAGCGAAAAACAAGGGTGCTGATACACGACAGCACCATGTTTGATTCAAACGCCCCAACACAACAGCCTAGTGCATGTGGAAGACAGACTCCCCTTGCAGCTTATGGCAATGTTTCCTTTAAAAGAAGCTACAGACAATATTGAAGCCTCACAACTTCTTCACCATGCCACAGCGCAGACCGTTAAGCGCCCAAGGCAGAAGCAGGGCCACTGCATGGTTACATGATGGTGAATCCATAAGAAGTGTTGCTCGCCGTCCCTCTGTCATTCACAGATTGAATGGACAGGTTCCAGGCCACTGGTACAGGACAGGACAGACCTCGCTCTGGAAGACCCAGAAAAACATCAAGGGCAGATGACCGATGTGTTGTGCTCCAAGCCCCTCAGAACCGATTCTGCGAAAGTTCTGCCAGTGACCAGTTGCCACAAGCTGCAAGGGAAGCTACAGTCTTCCACGTGGACTAGGCTGTTGTGTTTGGGCGTTTGAATCAAACATGGTGCTGGTGTTTTTCAGCACCCTTGCTTTTCGCTGATAATGTTTCATTTCACTCAAACTCAACGAATACTGAACCAATTGCTCCACTGCATGTTCCAACATGTCGTTTATAGTGCCCATTAAGCACACACACAATTGCATTTATCTTGGAGTATATATAACCCCACCACGTTTAGGTTTACATATGACTATCAAATTTTAAGGTGTTCCAATTCTTTTTGTTTGTAGTATATTTTGGGTCTACTGCCTTTATACTGGACTAAATTCTCTCTCCCCCTCTCTCTCTCTCTTTTGTTGAAGTTTGTGCAGTGAACACTAAGTGATATTTAGCTTCTTATTTTTCTGCCATCCATTTGATGTCCATTTACTGCTGTAGGTACATATGTCTGACACAATAATGCTCTTTTGTACTCAAGGGGTATATATGACACAAATGACAGAGACAATTTCTTGTATAAGTTTTCATCGATATGACAAAATTATATATGTATTTGTCTGTGTCAACTTCTATGAACATTAAATGAACCATAGTCATTGTATGTTTAGATGGAAGGCAAAGTCTTGGTGCCGGATCTCTCTGGTCAGACGATCGTCCATGAGAAGGACCGCCAGGGACGGTCAGTCATGTACCAGATGTTTGAAGGACTGCGATTGAGCAACTACTTTCCTCTTAGCTGCTTGAAGGGAATCCGAACCTTACAGCTTAGACCGGACGATATCTATCTCCCTGGCTATCTCAGGACAGGTTAGAGTATATACAAAGAGAACAATATTCGAACTTCGTGAAAGTATAGAGTGGACTTAACGTTAACAGCCCCGAGGTTCAAGATATTATCTTTATATTGACATTGTTTCGAAACTCGAACTTGCAAATATAGTTGTGGTGAAAAAGTATGAACGATGAAACTTATTAATGATATTTTCTTCTGTTCAGAAAGTAAAGCGACAAAGTGAAATTTGCATAGTGATAACAAAATAATTCTGTCGATATGCCGAATAGAAGCTGAGATTGATACAGGCAAAGCAAAACCTTTAGTTTTACTATTTAGTCTGTTTATGATAATATCGAATAGACGTCGCCACTGAAATGTACATGCTGCCATCTCCAGGCAATCACTGGACGTGGGAGATGACTAACATGCTGCTGCAAGGCAAAGCAGAAACTATCCCAAGGTTTAAGGACCATCTAGGACTGATACCTGAAGAAGAAGTGATCAAACTGCCATCGCCTCGCGTTCTGACCTGCCACTTCTTCATGTCTCAAGCACCGCTTGATCTGAAGGAAAAGAAGTGTCGGGTCATCTTTACAGTGAGGGATCCTAAAGATGTAGCAGTTTCTCTGTACAAGATTCACTACGATCGACACCATCTGAACACTGTGTACCTTGGAACGTTTGAGGACTTCCTGCAGCTGTTCCTTGAACAAAGAGGTAACCATTACCTTGAAGAAATATATCAGTATCATACAGTACGACTACATTGTCTTTCTGGAAGTTGTTATTTCAGTTCAGGTATTCCCCTTCGTGATATTGCTCGAATGTTGCTAAAAGTTTTGTAAATCCAAACTCACTTACTCACTATTGTCATAATGGACAGTTGGTTGTCATTCATGCACACATAATCTCCAGAATAAGAGCAACGTTGGCTACGTTAAAACACCCTTGACTGGAGTGACATTTACCATTAAGTATTGCTATTAAATGTTTGTTAAATGTGTTAAGTGTGTCTCGCTTTGTTAAATATGATTATGTCTATGTAGATAACCCTGTTGATGAGAAAATAAAATAAACGGATGGCATTTTCGTTTATTATTCTAGTTCGGATCATTACACTCCTCATATTAATTCCCTTCTCCGTGATTTTAGAACTAATGGTACGTGTTCCCTTTTTGTAAAAATACTTGTTTCTGACCATGCACAATCTATGCATTTTAGTAGAAAGTCAGATTACAAAGGCTGGGGCTAGGTGAATTTAGTTGATATAGTCTTAAAGTCTAAGTAATTGTCAACTCATTCATAATGTTCAAATTTGCATTTACACCATATTTCACTCACGGACAGACCTCTTCCCTTTAAACTCATGCTGCCCATCGTGTTTACTTCCAGTGATGAACAACGGTATGTTTGATCACCTCAGAGACGCAGAAGCGTATTTTAGTGACAATCCTGATGTACCAGTCCATTTCCAGGTGTATGAAGACACGTTAAAGGTATCTGTCATTTACGTCACGGATCCAGCACTGGAATTTTCTTTAAATTGAACTCTTACCAATGCTGACATTAAACAGTTGTAACCGACTGATACAGATTCATCAGCTGATTCACACTGACGTGTAAGCATGACTGAGTGGTCAAGCTACATCAGCTTGTCAACATTTACCACTCGTGCAGATCCAGGTTAGAAGTGCTGGTCGTAAGAGGCGACTAACAGGATCGGGTGGTCAGGCTCGCTGCCTTGTTTGACAAATGTTAACATACTTTTTATCAAAGGACTGTCTGCTCTGTACTCGATTAATTACAGAATGACGCCATATTATAGGTGGAATATTAATGTATGCAGCTATCAACAACAAACAAACAAACACACAAACAATGGTCCACACTAGCTGATATAAAATCAATGACACGTTGATGTTTCCGAAAAGGCGGAAGCAGTGAAGAGCCACACAAACTCTCACAAACGAGCAATAGTCCAGATTCACACTGTAATATCCCTTCACGGGTATGCTTTGGAGAAATATGAAAGAAAACACTCTTTACAACTGGCAATTTAGTTTCTGTTATATTGTAGATAATGTTGTCGTTTAGACATGGACTTGTACGAGTTGTATTTGTGTTGATCTTGAAATGGCTCCCACCCATCCCTCTTGGTCCATTCTACTCTAACACACATACATATATATGTTACAGGACCCAGTTGCGGCTGTACAGAAATTGTCGGACTTTTTAGGACTCCCTAGAAATGACGATCTGTGCAAGTCCATTGCAGAAAAGTGTCACATGTCCAAGATGAAGGTGGACAAAGATGCCTATGCTGTGAAAGTTGACGGGGATAGTCTATTTTTCTGGAAAGGTACAATATGTTTCATATCTCTGTTGAATTCTTGTTTTACGGTGGCCAGTACATAAAGCAGTCTGGATCAGATTTGACTATCCAGAGTAATTGGTATCATCAGTAAGGAACCTGACCGGAAGGATATCTAGCCATTCGACCTACGATTCGAAACTTATGACCACCATACATGTCTGGCATTTTTTGATAATTCTGAACTTTGGAGACATATACGTTTCTGAAATAAATTGTCATAGTAACCCCAAACGTGAGTGAGTTTAGTGTTTAGCAATATTCCAGAAATTGGCTTCACACATTGTACCCATGTTGGGAATCGAAACTTGTTCTTCGTCGTGACGAGCCAACGCTTTAACCATTATGACACCTAACGTAAATCCTGAAAGGAGGTATATTGCGTTTCACCAGAGCAATATCGCTACAAAACCATGGCATCGATATGTATTCTTCGAAAATACAGTTAACTATTTACTCGGCGTGGCGAACAAAAGCTTTAACCATTAGGCTACCCCAAATAAATCATGAAAGGATGTATATTGCGTTTCATCAGAGGAATATTGTAACATCAATGCGTATTCATCTGTAATATAACACTTAAATATTCTTTCATAAGTTACATTACGTTAATGTAATAAATGATTGGTTAAAACAAAAATCAAATGTGATCATCGTATATGACCTGCGTCTCTTAAGGGTTTGCTCCCGCGAACAATAGTACACCATTCAAACTTGTGTTCCATTCACCGCCACACCTTCTGATAATATACAAAATCTGGTAATTTCTGGTGTTTGTGTAGCGTGCTGATACCAAACAGGCTCTGGGCCCAAATCAGTCACCCCATTTAGGGTAGTACCTTTATCATTCCAGGTGTTTCTGGCGAGTGGAGGAACTGGTTCACGAAGGACATGCTGGATGAGTACTACCGTGTGTATGAGGAGAAGATGGCGGGCTCCAGATTCTATGAGCGATACAGCAGAGCAAATGACAGTTGAAAATGTGCTCCAGCCATGGGCGTACAAATGGTTAAACATAAGCGAAAAGACACTTTCAATAAATTTAATGCATAAAATACATCGAGAAGAGTATTTACAAATACAAAACCCCTTTTCTTAAACATAAATGTTTTTGCAATAAATCACGCAAAAGCCTTCGACATAATGAAGGAAACCCTTTCCTTAAACATAATGGTGTTAACAATAAATAATGCGAAAATCTTTCCATTATCGCAAGGATATTTACACATAAAGTGATCAAATCGTTCCCTTAAACGTATGGGTATTAACAATGTATAACTCGGAAAACCCTCTACATAACCAAAAGAGTATTCATACATACAAGAGTACCTTAAACATAATGGTACTAACAATATAATCAAAAGATTATGTATCCTCCTACGTAATATTGCTGGAATAGTGTTAAAAACGGCGTAAGAACATACTCACTCACTCACTACTCAGAATCCGTATTATATATTTATTTACTCACCAGTTATTAACAAACTTACACGTACACGATCATGTACACGAAGAGACAGGGCAATGGATTTATCATTTTAGCCATTTCTTTTTGCTGAAATATATTTTTTTAACAATATGACATTTGTTTGTGGTTCTGTGTAAAAATAACTGACAATAGGTCATTACGTAAGAAGCAGATGCTGCATATGAACACTATTTCGTCACGATGGCGGGTCGACGTGCATTGGATTTTACATGATGGGAAAATGCAAGTCAGATAGCTGAACTGGATATCGAGTAATGATAAGTACTCTTATCTTACCCTCATGTGAAATACTTTAATGTCATTGGTCAATGACGCTTTAACAAGTTTCCGTGTCACCCCTCTCAGAAGGGTGACGACTGGAAAAAATATTACCCGCTGCCACGGTACCCGCCAAACTCTCCGCCGAGAAGCTGTTTCGTTAACAATCGTATGACGTCATAATATGACGCATGCAGTGTCCGGAGTTCGAAAACCGTTCGATTAGCTGTTTTTGAGTTCACTCTGTGCAGATTTATTTTACCGACTTTTACTGCTTTATTTAAACTGTTTAATACATTTAGTCGTTTGCACACTCAACTTAAACATAATGAACCATTTTTATAGCAGTGTTAAGCTTGTCAGAATATGCTTCACTGATATAAAAAATTCAGTCGAGAGGCTGACGCCATTTTGTTTATATGTCATATACATTGTAGTCGATAGCGATCTTTAAACTAAAATAAAAGGATATTTTGTACATTCAACATGGTGGTAAGATAAATACGTTGTATGCTTCTTTCGAGGGTAATACGGTCTGATGTACGCCTCTTTGTAGCAGACCGCCGCCATATAGCGGGAATATTGCTGAGTGCGGCGTAAAACTAAACTCACTCACTCACTTTGTAGCAGTGTCATCCTTCGCCTACCGGCTCGGGTAACCCTACTACAAAGAAGCGTACATCAGACCGCATTACCCTCAAAAGAAGCATACAACTTATAATGCATGTCAGCTGGTCTGTAAGTAGTGACTTCGTGACATAGTAATGTTTGTTCTGACGTCAATTGCATGTCTCGCAGGTTTTGCCATATTGCGAGTCCGATGGCGGTAATGATGTCACAGGAAATGTATTTGTAGCTTGTGAACTCAGACTGATATCCCAAGGCTTTCCAGGGCTCGCATCTGGGTAAACCTTCACAACCCCATTCCCGTGGTTCTCGCGATCTCAATTCATTCGTTCTTGATCATTTGTCAATTTGATTGGTTACTCTAGGCAGTCTAACTGACTGTTGTGGCGGTGGGGTAGCCTAATGGTTAAAGCGTCTGCTCGTCACGCTAAAGAGCTGGGTTCGATTCCCCACAGAGGTAGAATGTGTGAAGCCCATTTCTGGTGTCTGCCGCCATGATATTGCTATAATATTGTTAAAAGCGGGGTAAACCTTCACTGACTGACAGAAAGTGGTCAAATATGTTATATATGCGATAACTCTTTCTGAAAAGTTACCGCTAACAAATATTTTTGACTGAAAAACGGGGAAGCTTGCGAAAATTTCTTCGGCTTCTTGTATATGTACAAAGTGTAAAACAATTCAATCATGGCAAGATCAATGACTTTCTGCAACAAGTATTGGGTTATTGATACGTTTAGATCTGTAAGGTTTTCCGCTCGTCTCACTGAAGACCCGGGTTCGGTTCCCAAAATGGGCACAGTTTCTGAAGCGCATGTCTGGTTTCCCCCGTCGTGATATTGCTGGGATATTGCTAAAGGCGGGGTAAAACAATACTCCTTTCAGCCCTCACTTTGGTTAACATGGAAATACTGTAGCCTGTGGGTTCAAACAGTACTCTGTTACTTATCGACCAGATATCTGTCTTGCAGCGTATTTGCGAACTTACATGTAAAATCTGTATGGTAAACTGCACCATTAAGTGTGGCTATCATTATTCATATATGCCCGTTACCCCTATTGCACTCGATCCGTTTGATCACATCTCAAGGCAGTCTTATCAGACCCTGGACTAGTTCATACCCGGTGTCAACATGGGCCCGCTTCATAACAATGCAAAAAAGGGGACATGTATGTACGGGATGTGTTATGCTGGTGTACTTTACACACGCACACTTATTCCGCCAGCATACTAATCATACAGTACTCTACAGAAACATTATGAATAGACATGTTTTTTGCAGTTATTATACCTACCTTTACCTCTCTTTCTTTCTCCCCCCCTCTCTCTCTCGTGTGTGTGCGCGTGCGTGCGTGCGTGCGTGCGTGCGTGCGTGCGTGCGTGCGTTTGTTGTAACTTAAATAGCAGCTACACATCTAAACGTAATGACCATTCAGGCCCAAGAGTTCCCAACACGCATCCTTATAACGAGACAGCGCTGTGTAGAGGGTATCGCCTGACCATCGGTCACGCGGTCACTGCCCTGGTATAACAGTGTTTATCAAGCACACAACACGATGGACGGGGAAACAAACAACGGGTGTATACACGGTAAGTTATGTAACATAACTTCATAAACGTGCATACCATAACATCAAAACGATAGAACGTCAGAAACATTTTTAAGTCGGGGCTGGGCCCAAATCAGACCCTTAAATGCAGTGACGAGGGAGTGGGTACGCCTCTTGCAGCAGATGGCCTAATTCAGCCAAAGTGGTGGTTAGGCCAGTGAGACTATTTGTACCTCGTAAAGGCACTCGCGGCGTTCCTTAGCAACGGCATTCATCTTGTATTTATCTCTGGGAAATAAAAAATCTTCTACAACAGAAATCATGTTTTTGGTAGACTTCGCCGAATCGACTCATGTCCACCTGATCAAATCATAATGCCTTTATACAGGGCGTTGGGGTAGCCTAATGGTTATAACGTTCGCTCTTCACGCCGAAGACCCGGGTTCGAATCCCCACATTGGTACAATGTGTGAAACACATTTCTGGTGTCTCCCGCCGTGATATTGATGGAATATTGCTAAAAGTGTCGTAAAACCATACTCACTCTGTCATTATTGCCTTTATTCTGTCTCTCTGAAAACCGTTCAATATGTTGAAATATTACTCTTGGTGAAGTTTGTGCAATGGACACTAAGTGATATTTAGCTTCTTGTTTTACTGCCATCCATTGGATGTTGATTTGCTGCTGTAGTAATATATCTCTGACACAATAATGCTATTTTGCACTCAAGGGGTATATATGACACAAATGACAGAGACAATTTCTTGTATAATTTTTCATTGATATGACAAAATTATATACGTACTTGTCTGTGTCAGTTTTATGAAAAAAACCAAGCAATTCTGTTCATAAAATTGACACAGACAAGTACATATATAATTTTGTCATATCAATGAAAACTTATACAAGAAATTGTCTCTGTCATTTGTGTCATATACAATTTTATGAAGAAACCCCAAGCAATCCTGTTCATAAAATTGTTATAAGGCCATTAAATGAACCATAGTCATTGTATGTTTAGATGGAAGGCAAAGTCTTGGTGCCGGATCTCTCTGGTCAGACGATCGTCCATGAGAAGGACCGCCAGGGACAGTCAGTCATGTTTCAGATGTTTGAAGGACTGCGAACCAGCAACTACTTTCCTCTTAGCTGCTTGAAGGGAATCCGAACCTTACAGCTTAGACCGGACGATATCTATCTCCCTGGCTATCTCAGGACAGGTTAGAGTATATACAAAAAGAATAATGTTCCAGCTTCGTGAAAGTACAGAATGGACTTTACGTTAACAGTCCCGAGCTTTGAGATATTATCTTTCTTATTGATATTGTCACGAAACTTGCAATTATAGTTGTGGTGAAAAGGTATGAAAGATGCACCTTATTAATATTTTCTTCTGTTCAGAAAGTAAAGTGACAAAGTGATAGTCGCCTAGTAACAAAAAATGTGTGTCGATTTGCCGAAGAGATACTGACATTGATACAGGTAAAACAAAACCTTTAGTTTTACCAATTAGTCTATTGATGAGGATATCAAATGGTAGTCGCCTCTGAAATGTACATGCTGCCATCTCCAGGCAATCACTGGACGTGGGAGATGACTAACATGCTGCTGCAAGGCAAAGCAGAAACTATCCCAAGGTTTAAGGACCATCTAGAACTGATACCTGATGAAGAAGTGTTCAAACTGCCATCGCCTCGCGTTCTGAACTGCCACTTCTTCATGTCTCAAGCACCGCTTGATCTGAAGGAAAAGAAGTGTCGGGTCATCTTTACAGTGAGGGATCCTAAAGATGTAGCAGTTTCTCTGTACAAGATTCACTACGATCGACACCATCTGAACACTCTGTACCTTGGAACGTTTGAGGACTTCCTGCAGCTGTTCCTTGAACAAAGAGGTAATCATTACCTTGAAGAAAAATACCAGTATCATGCAGTACAACAACATTGTTTTTCTGAAAATTGTTCACTGCGAAAGAGGCATTAGATGTGGAATACATTTCGAAATTTGATGCATCAGAGACAAAATATGGTGTGTGATGCAATTCCCTATTTTGACTTGTACCTTAGGTTTCCCGAATTGTTTCAGGTGCCTGACTCTGAGGGTGTGGGTTCGAATCCCGGATGGGACTCAACTCAAAAAGTGCTAGAGAAAGTGTAATCCCAAATATAACATATGTTACATTTGATCACTTTCTAAAATGGCATTGTGTATTTCGAGACTGTCCGGGTAAACGACGTTTCACTGCATTGACCTTCTTGAGGCCTTGACCTGTTCTATGCCATTGCTGATGTCTTGATATTTCATTGCTTTTGCAACATACTCAGTCTATTGCTGAAACAGACCATTATGTTTGTGACGACAGCACAGGTGGTTGTCAGTCATACATGTCCACATATACTACAGAATAAGGACACCGAAGGCTACGTTAAATCATCCTTGAAGGGCGTGACATAAAGCATTGTTCTTAAATATTTGTTAAATGTGTTAAGTGTGTCTCAGTTTGTTAAATATGGTTATGTCTATGTCCATGTAATGAGATAACCCTTTTAATGAGAGTACAAACGTACAAAAGTGCACAAACGGTAGCGTATTTTATTATTCTACTTTATATCATTACACCAGTCATAACTCCCTTCTCCATGATTATAAAATGTGCGAGGGTTCGGTTAAATACATGTTTGTGACCCAACAAATATGTAACATATTGGATTGTCTGTCTATCACATTATGAATTCAGAATACAAAGTCACTATATGGGCTAGGTGATAGTATTTGGTTTATCCGTGTGGTCTCAGTAATTTTCATCTCATTCAAAATGTACAAATTTGTATTTACACTATGTTTCCTTTCCTCTACCCTTTAATCTCATTTTGTTCACTTTCAGTGATACACAACGGTATCGTTGATCACCTCAGAGACGCAAAAAACCGTACAAAGTCAGATTACAAAGGCTAGGGCTAGGTGAATTTGGTTGATATAGTCTTGAAGTCGAAGTAATTTTCAACTCATTCATAATGTACAAATTTGCATTTACACCATATTTCATTCACGGACTGGCCTCTTTCCTTTAAACTCATGCTGCCCATTGTGTTTACTTTCAGTGATAAACAACGGTATGTTTGACCACCTCAGAGACGCAGAAGCGTATTTCAGTGAAAATCCTGATGTACCAGTCCATTTCCAAGTATACGAAGACACAATAAAGGTATCTGTCATACACGTCGCGGATTCACTGGATCTTTCTTCAAATTGAGGGGGCGGTGGGGTAGTCTAATGGTTAAAGCGTTGGCTCGTCACGCCGAAGATCCGGGTTCGAATCCCCACATGGGTACAATGAGTGAAGCTCATTTCTGGTGTCCCCCGCCGTGATATGGCTGGAATATTGCTAAAAGCGGCGTAAACCAAACTCAGTCAGTCAGTCTTCAAATTGAGAACTTACCCATATTGACATTAAAATTATCTTACTGGCTGATACAGAATCGTTAGCTTGTAAAGAGACAAACTGACGCTTGAGCATGTTTGTTTTCTGTTTATTCTGAAACGCCTCTCTCAGCAATAATCCAGCTACATATGTTAATAATCGAGTCTGGACAAGACAATCTAGTGATGAACAGCATGAGCATCGATCGTCGCAAATGGATACCATGACATACGTCCCGTTAGTCGCCTCTTAAGACAAGCATGGGCCACTGAAGATTATAACCAGGGTCTTCAGGGGTGGCGAGTAAACATGGCAATGTTTGTACAAGTAAACACTAGCTAATATAAGATCAATGACATCCAGCTGGTTCCGAAATACATAATTATAAATAATATGTGTATTTATAATGCGCTGAATTCCACACATCAGGCAAGCGCTACATATTTACAAATATTTACAAAGCAAAGGTTATGCTAGAACGAGGGTGAAATATTTGGAAAGTTCAGTTATAGATTGTAATATTTTCTGAAAAGATGGGTTTTCAGGGAACTTTTAAATGAGTAAATGGAGGGAGACATTTTGAGTTCAGTCGGGAGTTGATTCCACAACTGTGGAGCACCATAGCTGAAGGAGCGAAACCCGAATGCCCAGAGTTTCTGTCTGGGAATGGTGAGAAGGTGTCTATCTGCCGATCTTAACATTCTGGAAGGATTGTGATTGGTGACTAGCTCAACAAGGTAGTCTGGAGCCGTAAGATGGTAACACTGGTAGGCAAGATTCAGGACCTTGAATTCAATTCTGGCTCTGATTGGTAGCCAGTGAAGAGACTTAAGAACAGGCGTTATGTGGATCCTAGAGGGAACTTTGCTGACAAGTCGAGCTGCAGAGTTTTGTACTTTCTTGAGTTTTGATAGAAGTTTTTCGGAAAGTCCATAGAGGATGCTATTACAGTAGTCAATCTTTGAGAGAACCAGAGATCGCACCAGTGCATGAGCTGCCGCTGTAGTAAGGGAGCTTCGGATGCTGCTAATGTTCCGCAAATGGAAGTAACAGGATTTGCAGACTGTGTCAATATGAGCTTTCAAAGAGAGATCAGAGTCCAGTTTTCGAAAATGGAATGACAGTGTTGCAAACTGTGACTGAGTTAGTCATCACTTGATGAAGATTCTTCTTAGTGCCGACAAGCAACGCCTCTGTTTTCGTCTCATTCAGTTTGAGCAAATGTGTCGTCATCCATGTTTTTACGTCACTTGTACACTCTGACAGTCGTTCCCAAATTCGATCTGCTGTACTGGGATTGCACGAATCAGACAACTGGGTGTCATCAGCATAAACATGGTGACTCACATCATGTGTACTGATTACATCTCCTAGATCTCTGGTGTAAAGCGTAAACAACACTGGTCGCAGAACCGATCCTTGTGGGAAATGGGAAAGCAGTACAGAGTCACACGAACTTTCACAAACGAGCAATAGTCCAGATGCAGAGTGTAAAATCCCGTCGCGGGGCATGCTTTGGGGTATCTGAAAGAAAATACTCTTTTCAAGTGGCAATTTAGTTTCTCTCATACTATAGTCCAGACTTGAGATTTACGAGCCTATGCTGGTTTGATAATGTTGTTTTGGAGACATGGACTTGTACGAGTTGTAATTGTGTTGATCTTGAAATGGCTCCCACCCATCCATGCTGGTCCATTCTACTCTAACTCACATACATATATATGTTACAGGACCCAGTTGCGGCTGTACAGAAATTGTCGGACTTTTTAGGACTCCCTAGAAATGACGATCTGTGCAAGTCCATTGCAGAAAAGTGTCACATAACGAAGATGAAGGTGGACAAAGATGCCTATGCTGTGAAAGTTGACGGGGATAGTCTATTTTTCTGGAAAGGTACAATATATACTATCCCAAAAACGAAACGCATAGGCATTTTGTTTTTAAAAATATATTAATTACCTACTGTGTTCAAACAATCGTCAAAATATGCAACGAAAGTGTTGATAACATGATTTTACACAATTGCACAAGTAGAAAATCGATTTTACCTGAAAATGTTGATTTTGATGAGATTTCTTACAAGGATTAAACAGGCATCGCCACAACGCAACAAGAATCAGCTTCCGGTTGAAATTGTGCAGGAAAGAGCATGCTATAAAAATCCAGATTACTTTCGGAAATCGGCATTCGTTTTGAAGGAGTTTCAAGGTCAAATCACTACGCCACATCTTGACACTGCGACACGGAACATTGCCTATGCAAGAATGCACTCTGGAGATTACCAATCTTTTGTTGCAAGGGGATTCTGAATGTTAGTCTGAGCATGATGTCACGGCTTGCAGATCGTTACAACCAAACAGGTATAACAAATGACCGTCCCCGTACAGGCAGATATCGAGTCACCACTGCTGGACAAGATCGGTACATCCGGTACTACGATTGTGTGATCGTACTGCCACGGGTGAGAGCCAAGCAGCCAGTGTGCCTGGACTTCGGAGAATATCCGGTCAAACTGTACGGAACAGGTTGAGAAAAATTGGACTGAGAGCCAGGAGACACGACGTCGGGACCGTGCTACGTCATCACCATCGCGCTCAACGTATCCTTTGTCTAATGTTATCCACTTGGTTGTATAGACATTTCCTTCTTCTAAACTGATGTAAAAATTCATGTACTAAAGTTTAGTTGTGGACGAGTTATACATGTTTGAAAATACAACATTTTCGCAACAAATTTGTGGGTTATGCGTTTCTATTTTTTAAATAGTATATTTCATATCTCTGTTGGTTTCTTGTTTTACAGTGGCCATTACATAATCCAGTCTGGATCAGATTAGACTATCTAGTGATTGGTATTATCAGTAACGAACCTTGATAACTCTGAATTTTGACATACACATTTTTTAAATATATATTTCACGTATGTGAACACCAAAATTGTTCATAGTACCCTCCGTAGTGAGTGAGTTTAGTGTTTAGCAATATTCCAGCAATATCACGGCGGGGAACACCAGAAATGGGCTTCACACAAATGTGCCCATGTTGGGGATCGAAACTGGGTCTTCATCGTGACGAGCCAACGTTTTAATCACCTAAAGTAAATCCTGAAAGGAGGAATGCTGCGTTTCCTCAGAGGAATATCGTTACATCGATACCTATTCTTCTGTGATATTACACTTAAATATTCGTTCATAAGTATCCACAACGTAATTAATGATTGGTTTATCAAAAGTGATTATCGTATATGCTCCCTCAAACAATAATCGACGTTCAAACACGGTCAGCATCGTACTTGTGGTAGTAATTTCTGGATTTGGTGTAGTATGGTGATCAATCAGGCGTTGAGCCCAACTCAGTCGTCCCGTTTAGCGTAGAACTTTTATCATTTCAGGTGTTTCTGGCGAGTGGAGGAAGTGGTTCACGAAGGACATGCTGGATGAGTACTACCGTGTGTATGAGGAGAAGATGGTGGGGTCCAGATTCTATGAGCGATACAGCAGAGCAAATGACAGTTGAAAAAAGTGCACCGCTCATGGGCTTATATTTGTTATATTTATATACTCATCAGTTATTAACAAACCTACCTTTTCGTCTGCTCATGTACACACCGACAGGGACAATGAATTTATCATTTTAGCGATTAATATTTACTGAAATATATCTATACAACAATATGACATTTGTTTGTGGTTCTGTGTAAATAAAATGTGAACAGGTCGTGACGTGAGAAGCAGATGACGTCATATGAAACACTATTACGTCATGATAACGTGCATGGGATATTGCCTGATGGGAAAACGCCAGTCAGATAGTTGAATTGGATAACGAGTAATGATAAGTACTCATGCACGTCATCTGGTCTGTAAGTACTGACTTCGTGACGTAATAATGTTTTTCTGACGCCATCTGACATCCTCAGGCTCTCCAGGGCTCGCATCTCGGTAAACATTCACAACCCCAAGATTCATTCCTATAGTTCTCGCGATCTCAATTTATCCCTCCTTGGTCATTTGTCAATTCATTTGCTACTCTACTCAATCTCAGTCTAACGGACCAATTAGTATGTGCGTTTCAATTTTACGTTGGCCAAACTAACAACATGGCGGCCTGTGCAAAACTGAGAAATACGAGAAATTCAACATTGAAATACCGCCCGTTATGCAAAAGAGTGCACTCAGAAATATTGTTTTTATGGAAAGGATGTCATGATGATAAGTAGATGTGTCACTTGAAGGGTGCACGTGAGTTTCCGAGCTTGGTGCCCATGCCATGCAGGTGGTAAATTAGCTAAGGACACCACGCCAATGACATATGCGACTCGCGATATTGCTGCACGAGGTTTTAGGGTCTATTGTGTGCGAGCTCTAAAGAGGGCAATGCTTCTCACTGAAAGTATTTATTATCATATACTACCCATCAAAAGTTTAGACTCACCTAAAACACTCACTATATGTTATGTATATATATGTGGTTACATCGAAGATGAATGTCTCCACTAACTTGGGGAACCAACAGCAAACCTTATGCAGACGAATTGTACGAGGATCATGCATCAAATTGCTAAAAAGCATGTGCAAATATCGTTCATGTGAACAGCTGCGTTTTGATGTAAAGTTTTGTTAAGAATTCGCCAATTTTCACTGATTTACATCGTTTACTGAACTCATGACAATAATCTTTTCAACGTGACGAATTTGTTTTACAATACATTAGTTCATGTGTAAACAGTACCTTTAAACTGAATGGACTATTTTGCAAAATCAAGTTTAGAACAGTTGACTAAAGTAAGTGACTACATTTACACTAATGAGTCTAAACTTTTGATGGGTAGTATATATGCATCATGACATGTCTGACATTCACAATGCTGAGATTACTTAACACATTCTTGTTGTCTCTTACAAACTGCTGAGGAATGAGATATTCTTGAATTACATATTGATTTTTATATTTATTCTGGTAAAAATGTAAATAACAATATGGCTCCTGGTGAATGTCGGCGATACTATTACCATTGCAGTATACGTATATTGGTGTTGATTACTTCATCGACTACAAGTGTTGCCTCACCAGTGCTAAAATACCTCGATGAATCACGTCGGACAGCATGGCTAACTTATAGTATGACCAGAAATTATTGAGAATTTTAGGAATATGTTTAATTGGATTTCTAGTATAAACAACCTTGACCAGCTATCAAGTGCTTGGTTTCATTCAAGAGACAACTCCGTTAATCCTTTTTCATTAGTTTGTGAAGAGTTATCCCCCTTTGTTTACTTGCTAGCAGACGACATTATCAGTGATCCTCAGTATGGATGATTTAGAGAAGAGGAAGTTGATTTTAGAGTATTATAACAAGGACATCAGATCAGCTAAAGTGATTTCAAGTAGAACAGGCATCCCTTTGTGCACTGTTTATCGTGTTTTTGAAAAATATTGCAAATGGATATGGCATTGAGCACCAGGGAGGCGCAGGTAGGCCCAGAAAATTGACTGTCAGTGACAGGAGGCGGCTTGGTATTCTTGTTTCTAAAAACAAACGAAGGAGTTTAGAAAACTTAAGGCTGGATTTGATTGATAGAGGAACTGTTGCTCTCTGTAAGGAGACAATTAGAACTGAGCTGCATGCAATGGGTTGGTAGAAAAGTCGAGGAATTCTATCACCGATCATGTAACCTGAACAAAAGGACCGAAGGTTGAACTGGTGCTTACACCATGGAAATTATAATTGGGACAATGGGATTTTCTCAGATGAAAGTTCTGTGTGGCTGTTTCCTAATACACTGAAATTCTGGACCAAACAAACTCAAAAACCTTTGTATCAGCGCCCAAAGCACAGTCCGAAATTTAACGTGTGGGGTTGCATATCTGTGTTAGGGGCAACGCCCCTCTGTGTATTTGAAGGGAATATGAACAGTGAGCGGTACACAGATATTCTCGAGGGACATTAACTTTCATCTGCTCACGTGTTCCATTGAAATGTTTTGATTTTCCAGCAGGACAACGACCCAAAACATCGTTCAAAGCATTCACAGGCCTGGTTTCGGACCCAAAACCTATAACCCTAACCTAAATCCAATAGAAAATGTTTTGGGACTTATGAAGGAAAGTGTCAATAAGAAAAATCTGACAAATATTGCTGAAATGAAAGAAGAGGGGGTCCGATATTGGGACAGCATGGACCACGACTTTCTAACTTCTTTGATCAGTAGTATGCCCCGCCGCATTGAAGCCTGCATTGCTGCCCATGGTGACTTGACAAAATACTAACTGTTCACCTGTCTTTGAATCTGGAGTTATGTTCTGCTAATATTCACATTTAATACGTGAGTAATGAGTAAAAATTTAAAAAAAATTACATTCTTTAAATTCTCAATAATTTCTGGTTTTACTGTAACAACGCCTTCTCCACTAGAACCTAGAAGCAGACATATTAATGAAGGATTTTAAAAATAATTTTAGATTTCATTTAATCATTGATAAAAAGAAATAGAACTGATTTAGAATGTTTGAATAATATGTTTTGTAAATAGATGTTATTCATTATACTTAGATTAAATTAACATCTGTGTGTGTGCTTTCTGTATCATCAAAGGGGTTAAAGTATTGTAAAAGTATTTTCCTCCTGAGAGGGTACATTAGTCCCACTAGAAGTATTTTGGTTTGGTTCAACGCCGCACTCAGCAATATTCCGGCTATACGGCGGCGGTGTGTAAATAATCTAGTCTGGACCAGACAATCCAGTGATCAACATCTTGAGAACCGATCTACACAGTTGGGATGCGCGACATGTGTCAACTAAGTCAGCGAGCCTGACCACCCGATCCCGTTAGTCGCCTCTTACGACAAGCATGGATCTTCTCGGGTGCAAGTATTTGAGGCCTACCATGAATTTTAATAGTAGTTTGTTTGTTATTTAAAGTGATGGCTAAATCTGGGTACAATTGCCAGCTAGGGTCCATGCAGATAACAAAACCACCGTAGGTCCCCATGGTCCCCGGTATTCAGTTGCTGGCGATCTATAGCCCGTTTCTATATTGTGTCGTCTTAGGATTACTCGCTACTTATTAATGTAACTCTAGTTATCTGACTGTCCTTTGTCGACCGCTATGTATATTTTTTATCAATATATAGCTTTCATAGTCACGATATGGCTGAAATACTGCCGATGTGACTTTAAAATTGAACTTCCTAACTATTATAATTAATGTTCTGCTATTAAATACAATGTATATGCATACCCTATAAGCATCTAAATCAAGATATATTTCGGGTGTAAGACATATTTTAAAATATTTATAAACCAGATAATTCAATTACAGACACGTGGAATAAATACTGAAAATATGTATGACTCCCCGGGTTCTTGTAATAATGAATCATGGAGGTTTTAAATAATGTTTGGGCAGTGAGGTAGCCTAAAGGTTAAAGCGTCAGCTCATCGCGCTGAAATCTGGGTTCCCCACATGGGTACAATGTGCGAAGCCCGCCGCTTGTATCCCCCGCCGTGATATGCGGGAGTATATATAGCTAAAAGCGGCGCAAAACCATACTCACTCACCTACACAGGAAACATGACTCACTCACTCACTCACTCACTCCCTGGTTAATTTGCTTGAATGAGGCAGGGCAGCTTTAACATTCTTGTCACGTCTAATCGCCGAACAAACAGACAGCGAACGCTCGCCTTGACCCAAGCACAGTGTTTGGCGTCATATCATCTTGCAAGCCCCGGCTACAACCATGGATAAGTCATCAAGCAGGGGGGTGTACACTGTAAGTGATCGTATGCTATTACTGTTACAGTTTATCAACCCATTGTCCTCATGTGTTATTCACCCTTGTGCCCTTCTAGCCCACGATACGGCTTACTAGTGAGGCGGTATGTAGAGGTGACGCTGTATTAACCTACAAAGTGTATCGTTATAGTGTGACATTTAGCTGACATTTCAAGGTTTATCACCCAGGCAGGAGATATGTATTCATTATTCCGTCATGAATTAGGGCATAACTCAATTTTGATTCTAGTCATAGGTGTGACAGCAACCTCCTCTGACTGAAACAGCAGATTTAAAGGCATCATCATCGGAATGTATAAACAGGTACACTGCCATTGTCGAAGTCACTGTCTCTGCGCTTCACACTACCAACGTGTGTGATATAGACGAGGAAGGTATTATGATATAGACAAAGTTTAGGTCACATACTTTGTTAAAAAGAGGGGCGGTGGGGGTAGCCTAATGATTAAAGCGTCCGCTCGTCAAGCTGAAGACCCGGTTTCGATTCCCTACATGGGTAGTGTGTGAAGCCCATTTCTGGCGTCCCCTCGTGATATTGCTTGAATAATGCTAAAAGTGGCATAAAACCGTACTCACTCACTCACTCACTCACTGTAAACAAGAAGCGTCCAGAACATTTCCACACGCATAAATATCTGCTAAAATCTCTATGGATATCAGTACAGAAGACAGTTATCTGTGTTCCATTGTTCACATCCACATTCTACTAAATACTCAGTGTCTTCGTCATTACCAACGAGGCAGCCGCACGTTAGAATGGAGATAAACACACTGCGTTTTCAGTGTAGCGATAAGATACCTGGAGATTGAACCACGCCGAACTGGGGTGGTGGGATAGCCTATTGGTTAAAGCCTCCGCTCGTCACGCCAAAAGTTCGGGTTCTTGTCCCCACATGGGTACATTGTGTGAAGCCCGTTTCTGGTGTCCCCCGCCGTGATATTGCTGGAATATTGCTAAAAGCGGCATTAATCCAAACTCACTCACCACGCAACCTACATTAACCGCTGCGCGTTCTGTTCCAAATTCAATATCCGTACAGTGAAATAATCATGAATGTAAAGCAAACTAAACTGTCATTGTGATATGAAGGGATTTATTTCCCACCCTGGCGCTGTGGATGATGATTGAACATTTTGTGGACACATATAGATTGTTGTGAAAAAAACCCTGAACTACCTCCCCCCCCCATACCTTGCATCCGCCAATGCAACTTCAGTCTTATCATTACCTTTTTCTTTTCTGATTATCTAACGATATCAGGGTGCAATACTTTTGACGTGAATGTATACCATCGATTACGGCGTTCGATGCTTGGAGCAGACACTTAGTGCCTGGAGTATTTAGCGCTATAAAAATAAACTCAGTATCATAATTTATTATTATGGCAGAACCCATTTTAGAATTCAGCAAGTGTGATTGTCTGATTGGTATCTTGTACACAATGCCAGAAACCATTCCAAACAAACCAGTGTACGAATCTGTTGAGCCCTAAAGGCTAAATAACGGTGATAAATATAAAAATGATATATTTTAAGAAAACCATGCAAGTGTGAAAAACTAATGTTTGATCATATATTATGTTTGATCAAATATGTTGTCATCAGTTCTGTTATTAGTGAGTGAGTGAGTATGGTTTTATGGTCTATAGCAATATTCCAACAATATCACGGCGGGGGACACACTACACATCAGGCCCATATTTGCACAGACTTGGTTTTGTATTAAAAGCACTCAGTCTGTTTTTTTAAATAAGCAGTTATCATCATAAAATCAACATGTATTCCTATCATTTTATCAATGTCAAAGGGACCATACGGTCAGAAAACCTCCATGTTTTTCCATCGTGGTCACCATTAGACGTTTTATGTACGTCTTCATTGATTGGCATTCTAGAAGTTGGGTAGATGAAAGATGAGGACTATTTTTATGGATATACAACTTCTTTCTTCTGTATAGGCGACGTTTCGACATAGATTCTAATGTCGTTGTCACTTTGACACGCCGAAAGTTCGGGGTCGAGTCCCCACATGGGTACATTTGTGTGAAGCCCGTTTCTGGTGTTTAATCAAGCAGGACACTAATAAAAATCAGAAATCAACTAATTCTGAGAATAGTGTATGTTTGCAATGATAGTTTCCAACACGTACATAAAACGAAGGATGAGGACTATTTTTATGGATATACAACTTCTTTATTCTGTATAGGCGACGTTTCGACATATATTCTAATGTCGTGGTCCTGTTTGATCTTGACTGTCAAAGATTTCAATTTCTTGTAGGTGGATGGCACAGTGGTGGAGGCGGATTTCACAGGACAAGACATTATTTTCGAGAAGGACAGGAATGGCCAGGCAATTATGTTTCAGATGTTCCAAGGTGTCCGAAACAGCAATTTCTTCAAATTCAGCAACCTGAAGGAAGTTCGAAACTTCAAGCTTCGCCCGGACGATATTTATTTTCCGGGCTATCCTCGAACGGGTCAGAATATTTATAGTCACTTATCATGTAGGATGTCTTGGATGAACTTGTGAAGCTGGTATGCTTCATAACCTGATTTCAGTTTATCTGTTGTTTTAAGCCGCCTTAGTGTTATAATTATGATAGTGGAAAATATTGTTTTGTATGTGTGTTGTTTAACGCTGCATTCAGCAAAATTCCAGCTTTGTAACGGCGGCCCGTGAATAGCTGAGTCTGATCCAGTGATCAACAGCAAGAACGTGTGTCAACAAAGTCAACGAGCCTGACTACCCGATGCCGTTAGTAGCCTTTATACGACACGCATGAGTTAATGTGTTGCTGAAGACTGGGCATTCTTTGGCATTGACTTTCTATATTTCATCTGCAGGCAATCACTGGACCTGGGAAATGACTTGCATGCTTCTCCAAGGCAAAGCTGAAACTATCCCAAGGTTTAAGGACCATCTGGAAATAACCCCTCTTGACGACCTGATCAAGCAGCCATCGCCTCGGGTACTCAACTGCCACTTCTTCATGTCACAAGCACCAACAGACCTGAAGGAGAAGAAGTGTCGGGTCATCTACACCATGCGGGATCCCAAAGACGTGGCTGTGTCCGTGTACAAGATCCACTTTGGTCGGTATCATCTGAACAATGCCTACAATGGATCATTCGAGGACTTCCTGCAGATGTTCCTTGAGCAAAGAGGTAAGCTTCGTTTTGATGCTGTTGATGTAAAGACGCAAATATTCATCCTATATGTACTTCCATTCTAGATAATCTGATGTTCAAGAAGGCAGATGACATTCTGTTTTGTCTTCAATCTAAGACGGGGGCAGGGTAGCCTAGTGGTTTAAGTGTTCGCTCGGGTTCGATCCGACACACGAGTACAATGTGTGAAGCCCATTTCCGGTGTTCACTGCCGTGATATTGCTGTAATATTGCTAAAACTAAACTCACTCACTAGTGGGGTTACTATGAACAGTGTTGGTGTTCACATACGTGAAACATATATTTCACAAATGTGTATGTCTTCAAAATTCCAAAAAATTCCTAGCAATGTATTGTGGCCATAAGGTTTGAATCGTAGGTCGAATGGCCAGATATCTTTCCGGAACATTGCTAAAAGCAGCGTAAAACTAAACTTACTCAGTCACTCACTTTAATCTCACAAACCTTTAGGGACAGTCCTCAAAATAGACGTGCATATAAAGTGTGAACACCTAATTTACCACAAATCCTGCGTTATGGAATTTCAGTTGACAACAACGGTATATTTGACCAACTGAGAGATGCGGAGAAGTATTTCAGTGAAAATCCTGCCATACCAGTTCACTATCAAATTTATGAGGAATCACTAGAGGTAACTATTATATTCATGGGTTCCCGAATTATTTCAGGTGAACAATTGACTAGACTTTGCATATGTCTACTTTGTTTGAAGTACAATACTGTGCGGAATATTTGTTAAGGAATAGAACCTCTGTGAATACTAGTGATGGCAATGTGTTCTAAGCTAATATGGATATTATGAAAAACAACTCTAATACTCTGAATTTATGTAAAACAGTGACACATACAAATTGGAATTTCAGGGTGTTCTGAGCACTGGTCTGAAATGAATCTTCTTTTCATGTTTACAGGACCCAGTCGCGGCTGTACAGAAACTGTCGGACTTTTTAGGATTCCCTAGAAATGACGATCTGTGCAGGTCCATTGCAGAAAAGTGTCACATGTCCAAGATGAAGGTGGACAAAGATGCCTATGCTGTGAAAGTTGATGGGGAAAGCTACCTATTCTGGAAAGGTAGATATATTCCAAAAATGAACTCAATTCCTGAAGGTTTACTGAACACAGAGCATTAAAATGAGTCCAAATTTTATAAATTCGTTGGAAGAGGCCGATAATGACAACGGAGAGTGAGAACGATTTGTGTGTTTGTTTAATTAAGTCATTGCATCAAACAAAATAGGGTACAGCATGAATACATCTGAATGATTAGGGTCCATATTGGGCCATACTATAGGTTCAGTTTTCTTAGAAATATTACACCTGTTAAAGGAATTATGAATAAAATGTCAAGACGTTTTCAGTGTAAAGCTATCATTTCGCATTCCATATATACTTGTTACTGATGTACTTCAGTGAATGGGTGGATAGGGAGATGTGTGAGTATATGTAGGTGTGTGCGTGTGCGTGTTGGTGTAGGCAGGTTGGAAGATATTTGAGTTTTAGGTTTAATCAGTTTACTCAAAAGTAGTTCTCACAAGCGACCTGTGTCCCTTCTGGTTTCGCTCTCACATCAAGCCTATGATACTCAAACAGGTGTTGGGCAATACTCAGGCAATAGATTCACCGTTACCATTCCAGGTGTTTCTGGCGAGTGGAGGAACTGGTTCACGAAGGACATGCTGGACGACTACTACCGTGTGTATGAGGAAAAGATGGCTGGGTCCAGATTCTATGAGCGATACAGCAGAGCAAATGATAACTGAAGCCACTGAGGCTTATGTTAATGATAACAATGTTCCAATGTTCATAAATACATATTTCAAACATGATGAATTAAACTGCATTGCGATGTTGTTTGTCAAAGTAGACAGCAAACCGAGCATATCATATATGCAGGTGATGTATTCATTAATTATGTATGTAAACTATTCAATCATATGATTGAATCTCAATATGTCCCATACGAATATAGGATTGGAATGGTAATATCAATATACAAAGGTAAAAATGATTAAACCGACTCTCGAAACTACAGAGGTATCACACTAACATCTTGCCTTGGTAAATTATTTGAAAAGCTCTTGCTCAAATGAATTGAAAATATATTGCTTAAATCAAATCCGGACTTTCCTGATAAGTTACAATTTGGATTTCGAAAAGAGCATGGGGCCATAATATCTGTGTTTACTCTCAGGGAGACTATACAATACTATAACCATAGAGATTCCCCTGTCTTTACAGCCTTTCTCGACAATGCAAAAGCTTTCGACAGAATTTGGCATGATGGTTTATTCTATAAGCTTCATGAACTTGGTATTAGAGGTAATACATGGAAACTGTTACATCACTGTTACACCAATAGCCAATCATTTGTTGCATACCACGGCGAGAGGTCAGATATGTACTTGGTCAAACAAGGTGTTGGACAAGGGAGGGTTATATCCTCTTGTTTTTTTCTCATTTTTATTAATGACCTAATTACATCTTTAAGAGAAGCTGGCTGTGGTATCCGTGTCTTTGGTATGGACGTTCCAACTGTCTTGCTTGCTGACGATACTACACTCATAAGCACATCCCCTAATGGCCTACAGGTATCACTTGATATTGTCTCTTCATACGCTTCTAAATGGCGTCTAACATATAACCCATCAAAAAGTACCATCGTCGTTTTTAGCAAAAGAAAAGGCTATGATGTAAACGTCCACTGTAGCACTGTAACACCCCAATCCCCTTATCAGAATCTACCGTATATTGGGGTGTACTCTTTACAAGTAACCTCACAACAAAAACTAGAAGTAAAAAGTATTGTCAGAAAGCAATACAGAATGTAAACTCACTTAGATCTATTGGACTGAATGATTCTGGCCTACATCCAATCACTTGTGTTCAAATATGGCTCAGAATGATTCTTAAAACTAGTCTCTATGGCTGTGAAGTATAACCAAACATCAAAGTCCAACAGGCTGACACCTTTGAACAAACACAAAGATACTTTGCTCGTCTTGTGCAAGGTCTTGGTAAGAGGTCATCATCAATATCTACCATTGCAAATTTGGGATTATGGTCACTAACTGGGTATATCGATAAATGTAAACTACTATTTCTTGGGCGACTATGTAGCACTGAGTGTAACAACTTTGCAAAACATATCTTTTGTGCTGCTATTACAACTTCAGTAAAATCTAACAACATCTGTGATGATCTTTTATCAATATCTGAAAAGTATAATCTAAATACATTTGTTGACAATTATATTGCTCAAGGCATATTTCCTCCAAAACGTGTATGGAGATGAATTGTAAATGCTACTGTACATAGTTATGAATAACAATTATGGCGATCACAAACTCTCTATCGTTCAAACATGTCATTTTACGCAACAACTCATACTACACTCTCTTATCATACTCTCTGGCAACTGGCATATAAACACCCTAATTATATATCTTCCTTGCAATTTTGTGTCAAAATATTATCAAGAGGTAAATTCTCAAAAAAGTGTGCTCTTTGTAATGAACAAACATTTGACTATGATTTCCATATGCTTCTCCACTGTGAAAACTTAATACAACAACGAAATGATTTCTTTGCATACTTGATAAACTTGATGTTGAAACTTACGTAATATTTGAAATGCAAGGTGAACAAGATGTGTTGTCATTTCTCTTCGGAGCAGAAAACGACTTTTATAACTCTCTAGATTCAACACAATGGGAAACCATACTGTTACGCTTTTCTTTGTATGTATATGACCTGAAACCTCACCTTGTGAACTGTAATACAGAATGATTCTCTTCATGTCATAAATTTCTGTACATATGTCTCTAAACATCCAATTGTTAGTATTCATGTATGTGTTGTAATAATATGATGTTTTTGTTTGTAATCTTCGGTAACTACTGGAGGAAGTAAACACACGCTCTGTCTCTCTCTCATCGAAGATGAATGCCTCCACTAACTTGGGGAACCAACTGCAAACTTTATGCAGATGAATTGTACGAGGACCATGCATCAAATTGCTAAAAAACATGTGCAAATATCGTTCATGTGAACAGCTGCGTTTTGATGTAAAGTTTTGTTAAGAATTCGCCAATTTTCACTGATTTACATCGTTTACTGAACTCATGACAATAATCTTTTCAACGTTACGAATTTGTTTTACAATACATTAGTTCATGTGTAAACAGTACCTTTAAACAGAATGGAATATTTTGCAAAATCAAGTTTAGAACAGTTGCCCGAAGTAAGTGACTACATTTACACTAATGAGTCTAAACTGTTGATGGGTAGTATATATGCATCATGACATGTCTGACATTCACAATGCTGAGATTACTTAACACATTCTTGTTGTCTCTTACAAATTGCCGAGGAATGAGATATTGTTGAATTACATATATTCATGGGTTCCCGAATTGACTAGACTTTGCATTTGTTAACTGTGTTGAAGTTTACTTGAAGTACAATACTGTGCAGAATAATTGTTAAGGAATAGAACATCTGTGAATACTAGTGATGGCAATGTGTTCTAAGCTGATATGGATGTTATGAAAAACAACTCGACTCTAATACTCTGAAATTTACATAAAAAAGTGACACAAATAGGACATTCAGGGTGTTCTGTACACTGGTCTGAAATAAATCTTCTTTTAATGTGTACAGGATCCAGTCGCGGCTGTACAGAAACTGTCGGAGTTTTTAGGACTCCCAAGAAATGACTGAAACCGGAAGCTAAAAAGGTTTATGGCAAAGGGACAGTAAGTGCTTTTGTGTGGCTGTGCTCTAGGTGACTGTGACTGAGGCAGAAAACTCATGCAGTAAGCTCAGAGAGGGGTTAAGAGAAGCTGAAGAGTGAAGTATATAATGTTTAAAATACACTAAACTGAATATTTAATTCAGTTAAAACTAAAGAATAAAAACACTAAATACATACAAACATTTCATCCTGTCACATACTTCCCTCCCTTGAATAATAATGTCCTCTTCATTCCGGTTCTTCATCAACAAGTGAAAGCAATGCCTTGGAGATACTGGGGCTGATGTGCCCCAAAATGCCTGTAGCTGCCAGTTGTTCTAAGCGTCGACTCTTCTGCTGCCAATCTGGGTCAGAAGTCTGACACATCACATTATCTCCCGAGGTCTGCCAGGCAGGCTTCCTTGTCAGTCTACCAGTTCTTCTTTGTGCAGGTACGGGTTGAGGATGAGGATCAGGAGGTGCAGGAGGGGGTAGATCATCACTGACTGAGTCTTCCGGCTCTGCTGCGGTGTTCTGTGATGGTTGCACTGCTGCAGGATCTGCTTCTGAGCTGCTTTCTCCTTCAGGTATGTGGTCGTCACCACCAGAAGCATCACCTGCTACTTCAAGAGACTGTAGATCGTCACCTGTTGTCTCTGAAGTAGCCACACTCTCTTCCACAGTGTTCTCAGTGATAATAGTAACATCCTCAGCAACTGTAGGAAAAACGAATGGAGCATCATACTCAGACTCTTTATCCTCATGATTATCATCTTCTACAGTCTTCTTCACTGTCTTTCTTAGTCTAGGAGTTGGCTTCGTGGCTGTCGGTTTGCCGTTGTTCTCCATGATCGCTGGTATTGATCCAATGGGCAGGAGAGTTTTCATGTGCAGCGTCCTCTTCCTCCCCTCCCCAGATTCTCTTTGCACTACAAACACAGGGATATCCTTGTTTGGTTGCAAGAGAACAACATAAGGATCTTCCTCCCATCGATCGGCCAACTTGTGTTTACCGTTAAAGCCTAATGCCTTTACCAGAACTCTATCACCTGTTTGGACTGTGGCACCTCTCGGCTTCACTCATAGCTGACCTTCTGCTTGTCTTGGGCTGTCTTTGACGCCTTGGATGCCAGGGTATCGGCTTCTTGGAGCTTCTGCTTCAGAGACTCTGAATAAGCTGTAAGAGACTGGTGACTCTTGTTGGTCTCTATCCCAAAAGCAAGGTCTATTGGAAGACGAGGCTCACGACCAAACATAAGGAAGAATGGAGACTGGATGTTTGATTCATGCCGGATGCTGTTATAGGCGTGGACGAGAGGAGCTACATAGGTTTTCCAGTCTGCTTTCTTGTCTGGCTGGAGTGTTCCCAACATGTTAAGCAGTGTCCGGTTGAAGCGTTCAACCATACCGTTACCCATGGGATGATAAGATGTAGTCCGGCTTTTCTCCATTCCCAAGAGATTGCACAATTCCTTCATAAGTTGACTCCCAAAGTTTGTTCCTTGATCACTATGGATACGGTTTAGGATCCCATAGTGCATTATGAAATTCTTGAACAAGGCTTCTGCTGTTGTGTTTACAGTCTGATTCCTAGTTGGGATAGCTTGTGCATATCTCGTAAAGTGGTCTGTGATGACGAGAATATTCTGGTGGCCTCCCTTTGATGGTTCTAAAGTCAAAAAGTCAAGACAGACAAGCTCTAAAGGCTGGGTGGTGGTGATGTTGACTAAAGGAGCACGTGCATTGGTGGGAGACTTCTGTCTTAAACATCTGTCACATCTCTGGATCCAGTCTTCCACATCTTTGACCATGCCCGGCCAAAAGAACCGATCTCTGACGAGCGACAGGGTTCTGTCTCTTCCGGGGTGTCCCACATCACCGTGAAGTCCTCTTAGCACATGTTCAATCATGGCTGATGGTAAAACACGCTGGTGTCGTTCTTGGCCATTGATGTTAGTTTTCCTGCAGAGGATTCCATCTTGAAGATCTAGGCTGTCAAAGTTCCTGTAGATAGCAGTGTTGGATTGAGAAGGGGGATAATCCTGTCGTTTTGGGTTCCTGTTAATCCTTATGAAGTTAATCCATAGCCTAAGAACGTCATCTGCAGCCTGAGCCTTACTCCAGTCTCTGTCTGTCATCACTTCAAGGTCCTTTCCGGGGTCTTCTAGGCCTGCTAGATCTGGCGTTGCTAAAAAGCAAAGGCTGTGTACCAAAGGATGGGCCTGCGAAACGTTACAAACTGCCCATATTGACTCTGATGTTATGTGTTGTCTTTCAGCTTCTATTCCTGGTAGTCTGGAGAGTCAATCAGCATCTGCATTATTGAGCCCTGGTCTGTAGATGATATCAAAATTGTATGCTGACAAGGCCACTAGCCAGCGATGTCCTGTAGGATCCTACTTTGCAGAAGTAAGCACATAGGTAAGAGGGTTATTATCAGTATAATACACGGAAGGTATTGCCATACAGATAATCCTTGAACTTTTCAGTCATTGCCCATTTCAAAGCTAGAAATTCTAGACGGTGTGCTGAATAGTTACTCTCTGCCTTGTTCAATACACGGCTTGCATAACTGATGACTTTCTTCAATCCATTCTGTTCTTGGTACAAGACAGCTCCCATTCCATGGCTACTGGCATCGGTGTGAACTTCAAATGGCTTGGTATAATCTGCATACCCAAGAACTGGTGGTGTTAACAGGCATGTCGTAATTGTCTTGAACGCACTATTATATTTTGGTCCCCATTGCCATGGCTTGTCTGGTTTGTTGGCTTGATTTGTTCTGCTTCGTGCCCTGGTCTTTGTAGCTGGCATCAAAGCTGATAGAGGCTTGGAAATCTTGGCAAAGTTCTTGACGAATTTCCTGTAGTAACCTGCAAATCCAAGAAACTTGCGCACTTCATCAGGGTTCACAGGTGTAGGCCAGTCCTTAATCCTCTGTATCTTGTCAGGATCTGCCTCAATGCCATCTTCAGACACGATGTGACCAAGAAACTTGATCTTCTTCTTAAAGAAAGAACACTTGTCAGCGCTTAGCTTCATTCCTGTCTCTCTGGATCGTTTAAAGATCACATATACTCTAGGGGGGTACAAATACATAAATCACTAACTGACATCGCTATAAATGAAACCCCGTCATTAAAACTACTCACTTCGGTCTTTAATTAGCTTAAATCGACCTTTTTGACAACAGTGCACAATTCTCACCAGCGAACGAAATTTCAACCAATCAGAGCGGGGCGTCTCTGTGACGTCATATGAGGAATAGATATGAGGGCTGATGCAGAATTCATCTACATTTCAGGGGGTAAATTATCTTTTTTATAGGTTTGTATAAACCTGAAATCGTGACAACTGTTGTGGAAAATGAAAGCTATATGTTCTCACAATCTACTGTCATTTAATTTTGTCTACTGCTTTGCCTAGTTTCCGAGTTACAACTTGTTTTCATAGACGATTCTGTCAAAATCGCTTGGTGTCGTTAGGCCTTATTTGTATAATGATCCTATTTCTGTGTTTTTTTACCTCGATATTTAATCATGTCAAGTAAAACTCTGTTTGTATTCTCAAAACAGTGTCGGCCCATAAGTTTTCACATGCGATACAGCAATTAATACTCCCTTGTTGTGACCCGTGTTAGGTGGTATAAACCTACACATGTTATTTGTCATCATTCACTTGATGGTCAGTTAATGAATTTATAACAGGTATAATTAGTGGTAACACACTTAGATTACCTGACAAAGGTTCCCATTTGGCATTTCTTGTGTCTGGAGTAAATATTCAACATTATAAACATCGATCAAAGGATTAACCGATAACACGCTGATTGATTAATTACTGTTATCTTAAAAGACAGACACATCACTTGGAACGGCTGCAAATGAATGGCATATCACTCGTTTTTGTGGATATTGATGGAAGCATTCTTCGAACAAGGTAATAGCCTGACATTGTTCCTATAACTTTAATCTGTTTTAATTTTAATATTTGCATTTTGTTTTTATTCATTTGTCATAGCATTCAACAGAATCCTTGTTTTCGCCGTGAAGTGTAATGAGACAGACAACATACGCTAGGGTGTGTGTGCGAATTATGATTCACATTGGAAAACTATAAAATGTCTAGATATTACAGTTCAGTTATAAATGCACTATAAGTATCAGCAGATCGTCTGCTTTTTATTTAGTTTCAAAATGCATACAAGTATGATAATAAATGAAACTAATTAGGATTATAAGACCAAATATAAAGACGCACATTGACTAGTATCTACATACTGGTGAGTGGACGTTAACCACGAGAATGTAGCAAGAAATTTATCGCGCAGTATTGTCACTTCGACCCCCACCTCGCTTCCGTGGAAGAAATCGTTATGTTATAAGTTGTGTCATGCAAAATCCTTTTGGCTATGATTCCAATACATATTTAACTACGAGTAGACAGTAGTTTTGATTTTCTAACTTGATGAAAACAAACCATAATCTCATTAATTCTAACAGACTTTAGCCCGTGACTTCACGATTTTCAAAAATAGCGGCGCCCTATCGCGAACATCCGCCAGTCTGAGGATAAATGCTATTTAGGTTTGTTTTCACCGAGTTACAAAATCAAAATTACTTTCTACTGGTAGTAAAATATGTATTTGATTGTTGGAGAAAACGAGTTCTGCCTGTTGGAGAAAACGTGTTCCATACTGTTGCTTGCAGGTGTCTATACAAGTGGACAAGATGTTGGTACCAAGTAACACAGGGACTGTTGAGTTGTAGGATGTATCTGGAACAATTAGTAAGATACATGGAAGTGAAGGTATGGCCCCTGTATCTTGTAATTCAACTTCAATGTGGCCATAATACGGGAGATGTTGTCCATCTGCACAGTCAATCTGTAAGAATACATCCAAAGGCTTAATGGAAAGATCAGAAATTTTTTGTGTGTAAAAGCTGTGAGAGACAGTTGACACAGTGGAGCCTGTATCAAAAAGAGGTTAATGAAAACTATTCTTTCATTTGGTTGACCCACCAGCTTGGCAACTTGCCCTTCTTCCTATAACCTATGGCCTGCCCCGTCCCATAGGTTTCTTCCTGTTTAAAGTGCGTCTGTGATCCAGTATTACACGGCAACCATACTGTAGATGTCCTGGCTGGTTGCATCGGACAGAAATGGGCTCTCCAGTGACAGAATCCTTAGAGGGTCGCTGATTCCTAGAGTCCTGGTACCGTGATGTCATTCCTGGTTGTGGTGACCAATACTGTTGAGGTTGAAGCTGCTGATTTGGTGATGGTCCTATCGGACCTGGGTTTCGGTTCATCCAAGGATCGGGGGAAACAAGGGATGGGTGACTCAGTTGCTTCTTCAGGTCTGCAACTTCACTAGACAGCTGTCTCAGCATCCCTTTGATCTCCTTCATCTCAGTGTCCTGTGGGTTTACAGCGGCCATACTAGGAGTTGAAATCCACTTCAGCTCTCCGCAGAGCTCTAAGAAGGTCATCAAAGGTGCTTCCTTGATCATAGATGTGGGATGTCTGATCCCTGAGATCTGGCTTCGACCCTGACCATAACTGTGTCCGGAGCATCTCATTCCTGGTTGACTGGGGAACTGGTCCTTGTGTCTCTCCTTGAATGAGTAAATGCTCTAACCTGCATGCCCATGAAGCAACTTCCTCTGTGGCCTCTTGACGTGAGCTATAGAAATTAGCTAGAAGTGATTGACCCGTATCTACGCTACTAAAAGTAGAATTTAGCTTGGAAATGAGTTGTTGGATATCAGCCTCAGGTCCAAGACACATGGCAACCGTGGCCGCCCTACCACGCAGGGATTGCTGGACTATGTTTGCAACAGTCTGTGGTGAAAAAGACTTGTTTTGAATCAGACACTCAACATGATATTTCCATACATCAAAATATGTTTCGCCCTTCTTCGCCCAGAAAAAGATGGAACTTTTGCTGCCTGTGCTAACGTAACAGGTGCTTGAGTGCCTGAACTATTTGAATTTGACGGAGTACCTGAGTTAGAAGGCAGGATGGATGCACCATCCTCAGCCTTCACCTTGGGCTAGTGTATGGTCGCATCCACTTTACCAAGTCCTCTGCATTATCAACAGTAGGCCAGGTACCAAGAGCCTGAAAGGAGGAGATACGTTTCTCGAACTCTTCAGGTAGTGGTTTACTCATGATGGCGAGAGAACAAAATGAAGATGAATGATAAGGGACAACAACATAAATGTTGTGAGAATCGTGATAGCCTGATGAAAGCAAGTGGCAATACGAATATGTACTTGTACGCTCAGGATATACTGAACAACAAGCGCATAATGCAAATGAGTGCGTGTGCTACTGGGTTAATGACCCACACACCGAAAAATAGGGGTGATACCTGAAATACTGAACAACTAAACCATTAGCATAAAAGCTCTTAATGTTTGACACAGGTCAAAGAGACCAAATATGAAGGACAAAGTTGACAGTTGTGCAAACAGTTGTGCTTGTGTGCATATACAATGTATATTCGCGCGCGCAGGGGCAAAGAAACGGAAATAAGGGAATGCTAAGACAATACTTACGTATCAACCATAACAACAAACCCAGCAAACATGGCAAATCCCTATTGACACAGGAAGAAAAAATTAATGCAAATGAAAGAACAATAAGGTATAATTCCACCCGCAAAGAGCAATAGTAATACAACTACTGAACTTGGAACACAACACCAGCCCTACGTGATGAAACTTAACTAGTTTTATAAATTTAGTTGTTTATTTGGCAAAGTTTAAATGTAAAGTTTGGAATCTCACTTCATTCATACACACATCAAACCAACATGATATTCTCAGTCATTGTTCAAGCAATCACACGGCAACACACGGAGGAGGAACATATGATTTTCTTTCAAACAAAATACTAAAGATGTAAGCGCTCACTGAAAGAAACAACAATGTATATGAATCAGTATGTGCTCGCAGGCACGGCAAAGTCATCAAAATATACACAGGAAAGCTCAACTAGGGCAAGAATCTACAGTACGTGTAAGTATCACATGCAGTGATATCACATGACAAAGTAGACAGTCTAGCTAAACCCGGGTGTGTAACTTAAAGCTACATTAGTATCAACACTATGCATACAGCAAAGTACGGACAATGTCTGTACAGTGAAATAACTGAACGCCAGAACGTTCCCTGATTGCTTGAACACTGGTGGCTCACATGAAACACATTTTTAAACTGTCTATATATAAAATACACAAATATGTCTCAAAGATGTCTCTCATGCGTGTAACTGCATCTTATCAGTCTCCGAGAATGACGTCATAGCACATGTAGTGGACAGAAGGGTGATGAGGTCAATACGCAGGTGACGGTGTCTTGTTAGGCCATATTCCTCACTTGGGGCTCCATTGAAACCGGAACTGTTTCATCAATAGAACAGACACGGTGGTGTTCGCATTATGGCCCTTTATTTCTGATAGTTCATGTAAAAAACCCTGAAACAATTAAAACATTCTTTAGACAAAACATAAATATATCCTGATAGATAATATCAATCATCAATATCTTTAAATATAACCATTTACAAAATATCATTATTGCGAATCTATTCCATATACATTGCCTCAATATTTCATTGATGACACATTCATTTATACTTTAATTCATGCATAGATAGGCATATACATATCATATCATATCATATAGGGAAACAAGCAGTTCTTATCATGTAGTCATTTCACAATGCATATATAAAATGTAATAAACCCCCCAAGTGTGTGGACCTGGGTATAATCAGTACACCGACAGCTGCACCAGCACTACACCTACATCTGCACGAATAAATGAAACATATATACACACTGTGCAGACCAATCAAATGACAGCAATAACAATACAACAAATACGTTTAGTTATTGTTGATTAATGAGAAACATTTAAAATATATATAATGGTAAAATCCTGCTTCATTCTTACATTCACACATTATGCATTCATACATTTACACATTATACATTCATACATTCATACATTTACACATTCATACATTCATACATTCATACATTTACACATTCATACGACAGCTGTATAGTACTTAAAGGTTAAGTTTAACACTGATAAATGAATTATTGAATTATTTACCGTTTGTAAATAATTAGACTTATAATGCATTACATTCTGCAACTAGTTATCACAAACTACTCAATATTTACAATTTGACAAAACAGCCAAATTATCAAAGCATAAACACAATATGCGTATACATCAAATGAATATGTACAAACTACAAAAAGTAAAGAAAGACACTAACCTTCAGAATGATCTGAAGACCTCCAATATCGATGTCCAAATATAATATGCACAAATGTCTTGTGGCCAGTTGACAGAAATGTTCTTAACTGATAATAAACTCCAAACTTTAAACAGGGGACAGTAATTTGGATAAGGCAAAAGTGTAATTGAGAAATGTTTGAAGAGAAAACGTTACGTGTAAACGTTATATAACGAGGACTCTCAATGAACGTTATATAACGAAGACTCTCAAGGGTTCAACGTCTGATATGCACAGTTGCCAAGGCACAATTCAGTAGTTTTGCAATGAGGTCAAGGAAACTTGGTCACAGCTTGCATAGATACACATCCACTAAGGACGTTGACAATGGCTGCGCAACAACACATCCTCACCGTGAGTACCACTACAACATCTGATGTGCTTAAATGATGCTCCATGATCACACGTTATACTAACGAAACACAGTAACTTAGCCTCATATACAATGATGTAAATGTCATGCTGTTGAAAATAACTACTCCGCATTTGACTTTCGTCTGAGAAATGTATCATCAGAACAAATTCACTGACACAAATGGTAACAGAGTCAACGTGTGACACGTCCTGTAAGGAGTGAGAGAGTTTGGTTTTACGCCGCAGTTGGCAATTTTCCCGCAATATCGCGGTAATGGACAACAGAAATATGCTCAACACATTGTACCCATGTGGGAAATCGAACCCGGGTCTTCGGCGTGACGAGCGTTCACTTTTACCACTAGGCTACCCCACCGCCCCTCTAATGTCAGAATAGATCCAACTTTTTATTAAGTATAACTGCTTTATATGCTAGTGTATATCCACATGACCCTCAAATCGCACACATACGAAATCCCCTGATCTTACCTGAGTCACACTGGGTCAACTGCGGTATTCCGTTAGCAATGCAGTTTCGTATATTTCAGATTGATGATCAAGCGAATAATGCCGACGAGAGTAAAATGGATATCAAGATTGAAACGGACAAGTTTGGCAAGACCATCAAGTTTATGATGTTTAGAGGCCGCCACTACCTACCAGCGTACTCTATGTCAATCCTTGAACAAACAAAGACTGTTTCCATGAGACCTGATGATATTTACTTCCCTGCCTTTCCAAGAACAGGTAATCTGCTCTATGTAAAAGCTTTCAAAAATGAAACTAAATATTTAAAGTTTGCATATATGAACCTCCCATAACAGTAACCGGTTTGTGCTTAGTCTGAATAAGTGTATACGTTGACACTCAGATGTATTACTCACATGGAAATGATGGGAGGGCCACTGTTATTGTATAAGAAAATCCAGGAAGATCGAGACACTTATGAACAAGTAATCAAAATACAAAATACGAACCGTCCGCAAACATGAAACAACATGTAGGAGCATTGTCTCGTGTTTAAGTAACGTTGATTCTCGCACGGTACACTGATTATCTTGTGTCGTGTGGATGTGTCTCATGCAGGTAACTACTGAGATCGGGTTTTGCTGCCTTTGTTGAAGCATGTCATCGTATTCCTTGTGCGTGGAGCTATGTTGTAATGTAAATCACTTGATTGTCAGGGTGTTTGTTTGGGCATCTTTATGTCATAGTGGGCACGCAGTTGCTTTGTGAACCAGCTTGTATATACGTGCATTGCTTATATGTCAGGGATCATTGTCTGTTCAGACACTTTTAATTACCTCTCGGCATCTATATCTTGATACAAAATACAACTGTGAACGTTTACTTCTTTTAATTCTTTATTTGCCTTCATTAATTACAGTCTCCATGACACTTGCTTAATCACTTTATCACTGAAGAATGTAAGCGGAAATATAATGAATTGTGCAACCTCATAGTATGACGCCTTGATATAAAATTCAGAAACACAAAGATTGCATGGCAAAGATATCGGTTGGCTTTAACATTCACATCAATAAGTATCTACGCCGGAAAACATTTACCTACTGTACTGTATGAAATCAGGTCAAACGGTGCCATGCCGTATAAAACAAGAACAAATAAATATGTGTATGTTACGTTAAATGGAGCTAAAACTACACTCAAGGCCAAAAGAAAGTGGCCCATTTTATTTTTGATATATGAAATTTATTCAAAATTGTTGAAATTTATTTTCTTTGTTTAACAATCGCCAAAACAAACCAATAATGTTATCATTAGGAAAAATTGACTTCGAGCTAAAAAATCGTGAAATTTGTGCAAATGGTGAAATACACGTTTTTGAAGGATAAAAGCGACACTACGTCAGCCAAACGAGGCATTTAACGACCGTTGGTATAACACAGACGTTGTGAAACAGGAAAACACTTTAGATATGCCTAGAGTTACTTCAGAACAGCGTGAAAGAGTCATAGGAATGAAAAACATGGGAGCTTCTCATGCCCATGTCGCAAGAACGTTTGGTTGTCACAGACATACTATCAATAGACTTACCTAAACGTTTCAAGGAGACTGGCAGGACTGTTGACCGACCAAGGTCAGGTAGACCAAAGGTCACTACCCCCCAGGAAGATCGATATCTACGAATTCTACATCTGAGGAATCGGTTCCTGACAGTTTCGGAATCGGCATCAACGGCACTCGGTCGTCAACATCGCCTGAATAGGCTGATCTGGGCACGACGTGTTCGACGATGGCAGCTTCGTGATTGGCGTAGGGCTCTATTCAGCGATGAGAGTAGGTTTTGTTTGTACCATAACGACGGTAGAGCACGTGAATATCGCCGTCGTGGTGAACGTCATGCCCCGTCATGCGTTATGGAGGTTCAGGCTCATGGTGGTGGGAGTGTTATGGTTTGGGGAGGTATCTGTGGCGATATGAAGACACAATTGGTCACAGTTCAAGGCAACCTGACAGCACAACAATACATTGACATTATTTCAACAAGACAATGCTCCTGCACACACAGCTAGGATTGTGACAGACTTCATGGTAACCAATAACATAAACGTTTTACCTTGGCCGTCTCGTTCCCCTGACCTCTCACCAATAGAGCATCACTAGGACTTTCTGGGCAGGAAAATCAGAATGAGACTAAACCCTCCAGCAAACCTGAGACAACTGGAACAAGTCATTCATGATGAATGGAGGAATATCCCAAATGCCTTCATTAGACGTCTCACAACGTCAATGAGACGGCTAGTACTTGCATGTATCAATGCAGAAGGAGGACACACAAGATACTAAGTAATGCACGCCTAAACGTTGACAAATGTGTTTTCATCTAGAGTTCACAGATATTGTTCAAGACAACTAAAAACATGTAACTTTGCCTTTTGATACCAGTGACATTTAATTAATGTTGCTTAAAACATTACTTCATGTTTGACGTTGTAATAATCTCCGGATGTTTAGCAAGTGGCCTTACTATCAACATAAATAGATATGAAATCAATTTTTTGTCTGTGTATTTTATTAAGATTTTTAGCTACACTTTTTTTGCCTTGAGTGTAGATATTTTCCTAATATTGCCTTTTATCTGTGCCGACTATTACTGATTCTAATTCAACTTCACGAGTTCTGATTGGTCAATGCTATAAATTTCCGACCGTATAATCAGCATATACGGTCGCAATTTGAAAACCGATTCACCGAAACCTTTGAATGTATCCCTACACTATTGGGGCAACGCTGTTTCGCAGGACATGGTCATTTGCAGAAGCCATTGGTCAATTAACTCCCCTATCCAGCTAAAATGGGTGGAATTTGTGTTAAATAAATTTGCGGCTATATAACCACCGGTATACGTCCCCAATTCGTCAAACACAGTACAGTTATCCCCTAAATATGGCGCTAAACATTTTCATCCAATAGCTCCAGAAATATTAATGAGAACTCCATGTTGACCAAAATGCCTGCGTATGAGAGCCTTGTCAGAGCCATATTCTCTCTTTAGATAACCATTGGACAGGAATATTATGTTTGTCTATTATACCAGCTTGTAATTCACATGTAAAGATCACACGATAATCTATTTTCAGGAACACACTGGGTATACGAAATGACGAACATGCTGTTGAGAGGCAAAGCAGAAACCATTCAGCAATACAAGGGAAAGCACCAGTTAGAGTTTGTGGCGAACGAGGGTTTGAGTAAGCTCCCTTCCCCCAGGGTTATTAATACCCACTTCCGGTTGTCAGATGCTCCCTGGGAGGTGAAAGAAAAGAAGTGCAAGGTTATCTACAATCTCAGAGATCCGAGAGACGTGGCTGTGTCCCTCTATCACGCCTATATTGATCTAAAGGTTTCTGAATGCGAGTGCTCATTTGAGGGATTTTTGTATCTGTTTCTGGAAGGAAAAGGTAAGCAGATAATGTATATCAATTTAAACAAAAACAGTGAAAATATCGTCGTTCGCACATCCTAATAAAATTTGCATGAAACATTATTTCACGACTCAAAAGGACAGTTTCATTGGGCTTGTGTAGTTGATTCTTATTTAGGATACATTGCGTCCATTATATTTGTTTAACAAAATCAATGCTGAGTGATTCAAATTATCGCTGTCATATCAACCCTGTATAGTAGTTTCAAATCTGTTGTTCAATTAATATCAAGTCTATACACAGTTCAAGATTCAATTGAACTTCAAAGTCAAATGTCATGCACTTTTTCAACAAAAAATAACAATACCTTCAATACAGTTGACTTGACTTTTATTCTTCATCAGAGCTTGAATGATTGACATTAATAGGGACGATGATGCAGGTCCTCAAATCCTCAAACATATAAAGCCAACACTCCAACTCCAAATCCTCACACCTAACACAATGGAGTCCAGCTGACCATGTGCTCACATCTCAAGTCCATGTGCAAAAACTATCAGAATTACTTCCCTTGGTCCCTGGCTTGAGCTATGTCTCAAAATCTAGACCAATTTAGTTTCGCACAAAAATTATAGTTTTGACATAAAAATAATTGCAACTCATAATTTTGGCCATAAAAAACCCAGTACTGTAAACTATGTCTTATTCCAATCACAGTCTTAATGAAGGTGACGTACTTATTGCGTTTTGGATGCAGTTGAAGACGGTGGACTATTTGATCATTGGCTCGCTGCTGAGGAATTTTGCAAAGATAATCCAGACATCCCTGTTTATTTCCACATCTATGAAGAAACTCAAAAGGTAGGACACGTATTACACTTCAAGGCCATACGTGTTTTGTTCAGGCTGTCTGGTTTGTGTGTGTGTGTCTGTGTGTGTGTGCGTGTGTGTGTGTCTAATACCCGCGATAACCATGTTAGAACCTATAAGTGTCCTGTTTATCCGTCTGTCTATTCCAATAGCCAGTTTGTGTAAGGTATGGCAAATGATTTGTGAGATCTTCCAGGTCTATGCATAGAAACCTAGAGATGTTAAACGTTGACTTGTCGTGCGACTGCAGTGGTAGTTTGATACCTGTAACAATGGCAGTATTCCACACTGTATTCTCAACTGTATTAGTTCGAATCGCGTCTCTATCTTTGTCCGTTCGAGATTCCGCCCTTCTTATTTCACACACAGTTTCATGGTAACATTCGAAATGCTTAGTCTTTGCAAGTCCATTAGCGACTCAGAGTTTCAGTTCTGAAATGTGTAAGTTCCATCAAATGTATGGAGCTCAGGGGTGTTCCAAAAGGATTACTGGTCAAAAACAGAAGAGAACCTTTCAGCAAATAAACCTGGGATCTTTCCATCAAAGTGAATGAATTTGGCTTAACGTCCTGTTATCAGTATTTCAGTTATATTACAACGTATCAGTTTCGTCTGGAATGACAGCCTGAAGTGAGAAAGGTCTCATGTCCGCTTAAAAGTGTAGCACTTATTTTCAGTTAATAACTGGGACATGGACATAGTCGATCCTTACATGTAAAATTGACACAAGTTTATTTATATACATTTGATATATACCAACTGTATAATTGCGAGGTGACCTCTCAGTACAGTACTTCACATCATTGTTTTTTACACATTAAAGTCATTTTGTATAAGCAGGCCAAAGAACATCACTAGTCAGTTTAAAATTAATTTAAAATTTATTTTTCTTTCGCGTATTTATAGAACCTCCTGTTGGCTGTGCAACGCCTCTCTGATTTTCTTGGTCTGCCACGAAACGATGAACTGTGCCAAGCCATTGCTGACAAATGCCAATTTTCCAACATGAGAAAGGACAAAGAAAAATACGCCTTTAAAGCTGATGGGAAAAACTCGCTATATCGAAAAGGTAAATGTGAACATAGGATCTCGTTTTATATCATTTATGAACATGGCTAAAAGCTCCCCTTTGCTTTTTGAAAAAAGTATAAATTTTATGTTATGATTATCAGAGCGGAATATGGAGCAACGTCTTCAAGGCCAATTTTAGCGGAGAGTGTGTTTTTATGCGATTTGCTACTTACCTATGAAATTGATGCACTAACAATGGTTAATATAAGACAGCTCATAATGGCAGGAAATGGGCGTTATTTGATGGGGACGTATTAATATACCCCACCAGTAAATAGTGAAATGAATAATTGATATGGTAAATTGTAATGAAAACGAATTTAGCAAGCCCGTGATATATGAATGAGACATGGTTGTAGTGTGGTAACTTAGCTTAAATCTTTGTCACCTGTTCAAGGTAAATGGCAATGCATTTCTAGAACTGGGATCCTAAACAATACAATATTCAATCGTGTTCATACATATTTATTTGTTGACAGGTACTGTTGGCGACTGGAAGAACTATTTCACAGACAACATGTTGGAGGACTACTATCGGGTGTATGAAGAAAAGATGGCCGGCTCGAGATTCCACAAACTGTACGCTCGCAACAAATGAGAATACCACATGCCTTGTTGATATAAGTGACCCTGGTTCCGCGATGACATATCAGCCATAAGGATATGAAAACATTGACCGTCACACATTTATCTTATTGAAACATTATATTTTGGGAGAATCGAATAATATCCAATTCTGACGTTATTTAGTTTAGATTGTATGGCTGTGGGTTAATGCTGGATGGATCCGGAATACAGATACAGTCTAGGACAATTTACAGCTACATTGTACTTGTTCATATTAATTGTTTGCAATTTACACGAACAGATAATTCTGACTCAACAGCCTTGGGAGAATGAACCACTGATATTTTTGTGAAGAATGGTCCAAAAGACTAATGTGTTCTGGCATACACTAACACAGGACCAAAAGCCGGATAATAAACCATTGAAATAAACGTAAATACAATAGAAAATATATGCCATGACCGGTTTTACGTATGTTTCCAGAGATTTCCCAACTTCGGGCATATATTTCATATGAATCTATACCTTTGAAACATATGCTCATCGTACATTTTCGTATGCACAAGTACCTCGTTCATGTATGCCATGACCGGATTGTCAAGTAATTCCAAACATGAATTGCAAAACAGATACCCCAGTAAATACATGATCATACAGTATTTCCAATGCATTCATTTGAATTTCAATGGGTGCCGAAATTTCCGATTTCGTTCCAAGTTTACTCAGGTTGGAAACATTTAAATTTACTTAGCTGGGGAAACACATGTAAATTTTCAAATGTGCAAATGTTTACAAACCTTAGATATTTATGTATCATACCGGATTTCAGGGGTATGTATATGAACGGTTCATACACCTTCATGTTACCTGTGCTCAAGCAAGATAATCATTTGTTTCCATCATGTGAATTACTTGGTTCATGTAATTTCATTTTCACAGATTTTAGTACGTTTGAAATTAACGTTCACGTGACCTCATTATTCTTATCATCAAAAGAGCCTGACTAAGAAAGCAATATTACGCAAGCTAACACGTATGTTTTCAGATATTTCCTAACTTCGGGCATATATTTCATATGAATCTATACCTTTGAAACATATGCTCATCGTACATTTTCGTATGCACAAGCACCTCGTTCATGTATGCCCTGAGCGGATTGTCAGGGATTTCCAAACATGAATTGCAAAACAGACACCCCGGTAAATACATGATCATACAGTATTTCCAATGCATTCCTTTGAATTTCAATGGGTGCTGAAATTTCCGATTTCGTTGTAAGTTTACTCGGGTTAGAAACATGTGAATTTACCTAGGTGGGGAAACACATGTAAATTTGCAAATTTGCAAATATTTACACACCTTAGATATTTATGTATCATACCGGATTTCAGGGGTATGTATATGAACGGTTCATACACCTTCATGTTACCTGTACTCAAGCAATATGATCAAATATATCCATCATGTGAATTACTTGGTTCATGTAATTTCATTTTCACACGGTTTAATACGTTTGAAATCAACGTTCACATGACCTCAATATTCTTATCACCAAAAGAGCCTGACAAAGAAAGCAGTATTACGCAAGCTAACACGCCTTATCAAGCTGCACTCGCTCTTGCTACCAGTATCAGCTACGCCTTGTCTGTGGTGTTGGCAAATCTTGTGAGGTGCATGATTCGAGGGATTAAAAGGTTCAGTGGTGAACAAAGGGCGATGCGTAGCCCCTTTGTCCTCGCAAGTGTCCCTAGCTGTCCCAATAGAATAGCACTTTGTCTCTCTTGGAGCACAGCCAAATATGCTACACGAATCAACTCGTAATTTCTTAAGTCTGTTCAGCTCGCGCATCACTACTGTAAAATATTTTGTGGCAGTACATAATTGGAATATTATTGCACTGCATGAGACCTTCCTTAATTGTCTCACAGAGCCTGAACAATGTTGTTTCTCCATTCGCTCAGCCTTTGCTGTAATAACGCCATACATAAACTTTAAAGTTGTCCACATTTGTTTTACTAACGCAAAAGTATACGATAACAAACAATGCCATATCCATAAACACATAATAAACAACGTTGTATGTTGAAAACCGGTTCAAAGAAGATGGGAGACACCCTAGAACAGTGGAGGGCCAGGACTGGGGTATTCCGCCACTCTAGAGGCCTAAAACAAGTCGACAAAGTCTGTTCCTACAACCCGTACTCAAAATGGACCACCATGACAGGCATGGCGTACATTATTGTGCTTCGTGGTTCTATCGACGGTCTGCACTCTAGGTAACTGTCTTGCAAACTCATGTACTGCATTTCATGTTGTATTAACTGAACATTCTGAATGTGGATATACACCCATGCAACTATATAATTTGACAAGTGAGCATGAAATGTTGTGTTTCTCAATTCGTCACTCGGTCACGTCCGGGTTGTCCGGAGGAAGCGCTCGTACAATATCAACAGATAAGAACAACAACAACGCTGGCTTCGAATACTCTGTACCAATGACCTTGATTACTGGTCTACTCTTACGTGCTGGTGTTGAGCCCAACCCAGGCCCAGATACGCGTCAGAAACAACTTAAACTAGCAGAATCAACCAATAGTGACCCCGGTAGCAAGTCTGAGTTCGAGAGACTCATGGAGGAATTACACAAGATAAATAGCAAAGTTGATAATGTGCAAAAGGATCTCTCTGGACGATTTGATGAACTCTCAGATTCTGTTGGTAGGATTAAGGTGTCAGTGGACGATTGATCTAGAAAATGTGATAAACTTGAAGAAGAAAATTGTACGTTAAAAACTAACGTTTCAGATCTCTCAGACAAGTTAGACTACCTGGAAAACCAAGGTAGGAGAAACAATCTCCTTATCCATGGTATTGCTAAGTCTAAATCTAATGAAACCTGGAGTGACTGTGAAGATTCAGTGCGGAAGGTGTTGTGTGAGAAGATGGACATTGACGACTCTTCTATCACTATTGAGAGAGCACACCGTGTTAATCGTGGTAAATCCATTATCATTAAGTTGCTGGATTACAATATGAAAAGTGAGATTTTGCGAAATGCACGATCACTCAAGGATACAGGCATTTACATCTCAGAGGACTTTTCCCTTAGAGTTCGACTCATACGAAAAAAACTGAAAACTATAATGGATTCTGAAAGAGAAAAGGGTCGAAGATCAAAACTTAGATTTGATAAACTAATCTTTGATGATGGAGAAGTTGTGAGCTGGAACAAACAGGAGGATAAAGCTGTGTTCTCCAGGAGAGGTAGCAGTCGTCGCGACGAAGACTCCACACTGACCTAGGACAGCGGCCGGGCTCACCACGCTGAAGTTATCTCCTTTTTTCATGGAACATACAGGGACTACAGTCTAAACTGTCCAAGCCTGACTTTGTTAAATACTGTTAACAATTTGATATCATTGGATTTCTAGAGGTATGGAGTAATGTAAACAGAGAGCTCGTACAGAACAATTTTCCAAATTTCAGTAATCATTACAACTTGAGAGATTACAACAATAGAGGTGGAGTGCTTCTTATGATTAAGGATTATTTGTATGAAGGTGTGAAGAAGGTTATAACAACATACAGTGATTGCATTTTTCTTATTTTGGATGCAACATTTTTCTGTCTGGACAGAGATATCATCCTAGGATTTGTTTATATTCATCCTGAGGCCTCCTCTGTTGTGACTGATACTAGAAATAAGAAGGGTGTAGAATACCTGGACAGCGCTATTTTAGATCTGAAATGTCACTATAATGACACACATATCATCATTTGTGGCGACCTTAATGCCAGGACAGTTTGCCTAGCAGATTATATCATTCCTGATAAAGCAGACCTTATTCCAGAGTTAGATGGTGTTAATGACATCGTTGATACATTCGACACTCCACGTTCCTCAAGGGACTCCGAGATAAATAATTATGGCAAGGAACTTATTAATCTATGTTGCAGTTATGGGATACACATTCTCAATGGCAGATCCAAGAGTGATCCGCATGGAGCATTTACATGTATTGCAAACAAAGGACATAGTCTAGTTGACTATGCATTATGTTCTACTATTCTATTCAACTCAATTAGTGATTTTAGTGTGTGTACATCAGTAGAATCTGATCATTTACCTATTGTTTGTCAGCTGAAGTGTTTCTTCCAGAGGATTGACGACTCGGAGCGATATGATACAATTGCGATGGAGAAATATAAATGGAGACCTCCCCATGCAGACAAGTCTGACTCAACCTTAAAAGTAAACTTAAACTCACTGCCTCTTGATGTCTTTCATGAGATTACTATGGATAATCCATCTCTAGGTGCAAAACTGCTGACTGACATTATCCAAAAAACTGCATCTTCTTGTGGAATGGACTCGAACTCTGTCAAGACACGGGATAATCATAAACAGCAATGGTTTGATCAAGACTGTGAAAAATTTAAAACAAGATAAATATGAACTTTTAGATAGATTTCGCCTGTCTGGGGATTTTTCTTACCTTCAAGAGTTTCATAAAGTTCGAAACAAATTCAGAGAGCTTTGTCGTCACAAGAACCAGGAATATACAATAGCAATAACCAACTCTATATTATCAGATTTTCTTCTGGTAAAGGGTCAAATCCTTTTGGTCTCATGTGAGACATTTTAGCAGCGCTTCATGTAAATCTGTAGCAACAATTGACTGTTTGTCATGGGTTGAATATTTTAAAGATGTATTAAATATTGAAGATATTCATATTGATGAAGATTTTTTAGCATTTACAAAGGATTTCATTGTAAATCATGATGTGCAAGAATCTGTCTGTGGAATCGGTAATAATGATGATATAAATAATATTGTGAATAGGGACATAAGTATTGAAGAGGTGGAGTTTGCTCTTGGTAGTTTACGACCTAATAAAAGTCCTGGTCCAGATGGTATTCCACCTGAGATGTTTAATGTTAACAAAATTGTTTTGCAGTCATATTTATGTACTTTGTTTAATGGCGTTTTTAGGTCAGGTAAATTTCCAGATCAGTGGTCACCTAGTATTATATTTCCATTGCATAAAAAAGGTAGCATTCACGAAGTAAATAATTATCGTGGTATCTCTCTTATGGATATTTGTGGCAAAGTTTTTACTTCCATTTTGAACAGGCGTTTGAAAGAGGTTGTTGACGTGTTAGATCTGTACCCTGAGTGTCAAGGTGGCTTCCGTAAGGGCTATTCTACGGTCGATAACATTTTTACACTCCAAAGTGTTATACAGAAATATTTGTCAAAACAGGAGGTAGATTTTATTGTTTATTTGTTGATTTTTGTAAGGCGTTTGATTCAGTTAATAGAGATCTTCTTTGGTTTGTTCTGTTATCTAATAGTGTCCATGGTCATATGTTCAATATCATTAGAGATATGTATTCAAAGACAAAGGCTAGTGTTAAGCTAAACAATTTAAATGTTTCTGAATATTTTGATTCTTTGAGTGGGGTTCGGCAAGGTTGTATTTTAAGTCCTCTTCTATTTGCGTTGTTTGTTAACCAGTTGTATACGGAAATAATTACTTGTGGTGACAGGGGCGTATTTA